TTCATCACGAAAAATATGGATGAAGGTAAATATACCTGATGTATGTTTATTGATTTAAAAAATGGATTCGACTGCGTACATTATGAAGATATGAAGTGTTTAATGTAGTTATTTTTTCATAACATTTATTTATTGAACAATAACCATAATTTTTAACTATAATTTATTTCACCCATTCCCTATTTGTTAGCGCACAAAATTTTCTATTAAATCTACTATGTTTATTTTGACTTGTTTTTAATTTGAACGGTCCACTGCAGTCTACTTAAAAACTTCTAGAAATCTTTAAACCTTTTTCGACCTTTTTTGCCAAACTGTGATAGAATTGAAATGATAGAAAATAAATCAAACTAAAGAATAAAAAGAAAATGAATTAATTAAGAATTATAACATGGAATGCAGATGGAATACTAAATCACACTCAGGAACTATAGCCCTTTCTGCACAAAGTAAAAATTGACATAGGATTGATATCTGAAACTCATTTTATAAAAAATAGCCATATTATCATTGAGATATACTTCATATGATGCGGTACATCCTGAAAATAGAGTCAAAGAGGGAGCAAATATATTAATAAAAAATAGTTCTATAAATAGTAAGCGACTCAGTAACCAGCTGAAATCAAAAAGCCTATTTATATAATAAAACGACGAATTGGAACAACGTTCATGAAAACTTAAGTAATTACATAATTCTCCACACATCTTTAAAAGCATAAGCCACCAGATTGAAAATGAGACTAACAAATTCGTATTACAAGTGTAGAATGCGGTCTGGGAAAACACAATTTGCAAAGATAATGACGATGACATTGTATTTGTATTCTGTTGAAATTAGAAATCACCAGAAACGAAGGGCTCGAAAAATAAAACAACACTCGCGGACTCCCTCGGGTAAACTAAAATTAAACCAGCTGACTAATGAAGTTAAAAAATGATTAAGAGACAGGAAAAATTAAATAAAGAAAAATAAACTTTCTAATCTATTAGCTTATAAAGACACAGATTACTCGCTTTGGAAATTATTAAAAAGAATAAAAAATCCTAAGCTTCAAATTCCCACTCTAAAGAGAAATCGAGGTGGATCATTTCAGATAAAGCTATATACTTTGCAGACTATCTTGAAAATGTATTTAAGCGGCTTCCGTGATAAATAGTCAATGAGGTTGCTTGTATCCAAGCAAACCATAATAGCTTAAATTTAAGAAAAATATTGATGACAGAACCAAAAGAGGAAAAAACCTAGACAATAAAAAGGCGCCTAGGTTTGATCTGATTTCAGCTTGTATATTGAAAGAGTATATTGAAAAAAGGAATTATGTTCTGCTGTGTTTCTAGATGTCGCTCAGGCCTTTGATAAGTTTTGGCACAAGGGTTAACTCTGTAGGCTGAATAAAGTGCTGTCAATATCAATGTGCTCATTATTAGAGTCATATTTTCATCGAAGAACTTTTAAAATTAGATAAAACGGAGAATATTCAGAACTGAAAGATATACACGTAGGTGCGCGTCAGGGAAGTGTTCTGGGTTCAGTACTCTACCTCCTACTTTCTTCACTATGGACATCCTACAAGTATTTGATACCACAACAGCAACATTCGCAGACGATGCAGCAACCTTGGCTGTAGGTAAAACTACCACGAAAGCACGATAATGAGGGTAAATCGTGTAAATTTCACAAATAGACAAATAAACAACATTATGCATTGGTTAAACAGAATAAAGTTGGGTCAAACCAATGGTTTGTATTGTAGCACTTTTCCCTTCAACAAGTGAAAATTCTGCTTTTAAATACAGTCTATGTATATCTACCACACTATTAAAAATATTTTCATTCATATACGATACTATTTCTAGGATTGCATATATTTAGGATGAACGATTTATGCGAGTTTTTGAAATAAAGCAAAAATTAGTATAAAGTGGGGTTAACATAATGCTCGTTTTTAAGGGTTAATTGTATGAGTTAAGAAAAATAATTATATTTTTTAATGTCATGGAATTTACCGTTAGCTTTTTGCGTTCATAGAAATTTGAAAAAGCTTACGGTTTCGGAAATATAAAGTGTCAAAAATTCAAATTTTACTAATTTCAAGAGGCGATAACTTGAGAGGGGGTGGAGATGGAAAAAAATTTTCTTCTAGCAAAATTAACTATTTATTAATGTCTAAAAGCCTCTATAATTTCAAGCTCTTACTGGCTGGGGTCTAGAAGAAAAACGAAATCAAAAATTTAGAAAAAAATGACTTTAGATAACGGTAAATTTGAGCGGACATTTTGTTTTTCTAAAGTTTAACTGTAGTATACCGCGCTAGGAGAAGCAAGCCACTGCCTTTCTGCGTTTACAAAATTTCAAAAATGATTATGGTTTCATTGCAACAAATAGTTAAAAAAGGCCATTTTTTGGGTTTTGGGGGGGTGTAACTTCTAGAGGGGGGAGATAGGTAAGAATTTTGTTCTACGGAAATAAGTTTTTAGTAAAGATCTATGTACGTCTTAAATTTCAGCTTTCTATCTTCAAGGGTGTAAAAGTTTTGTAAACCAAAAAAAGTGTCCACGGACGGACGGACGGACGGACAGAGTGAAACTAATAAGGACTTTTTTTCAAAAAATTTTTGGAAAAGTGCTAAAAAGGAAGAACTAAACGTCAAAATTAGGAAGCTGCACTGGATACTTGGAAGAAACTCAGAAGTTAAACTAAACGATTAATTGCTAATTTACAAACATATTATCAAACCAATTTAAACGTACGGCTTTCAGCTAAGGGACTGCACCAAGAAGAGCAATTATCAAATTATTCAAACTGTTCAAAGTAAATTCCTTCGAACAATAACGAATGCACCATGGTATGTGAAGAACAGCACATTACACTGAGATTTAAATATACCTATAATTGAAGAAATAAAAGATTTTTCGGTCAAACATTACAAAAGAATCCACCAACCCGAGAATATGCAAATTCGCAGCATTTCAGAAAATAATGTATAATGTCGTCTCAAAAGAAGACCTACGAATTTATCTTCATTGATATGAGAAAATAACTCAACATGACTGAAGCCCTGTCGCTGGAAACCCTGATTTACCCCTTCAGAAAGAGAAATATAAATTGCTGGATAGGTTCTCTAAACTTGCAATAAAAATAGAGAAGATTTAAAAAAAAGATATTTTATGATTAATGTTCGATATTTTTATTATTTTCTTAACATACAAAATTTTGGAAAATTTTGCAAAAAATTTCTTTTTCAGTTCTCATTGAAATTTTTTGTGGATCTGGAGGACCGATTTTAAAAAGGTTCCGGGCAATATTTGCTGATCAATTCATTTTACTTTTCCACATGCAAATATATTTGGTGAGTTTCAACTGTGACCAGCAAGAGCGTTGCGGGAGAGGACTATTTCAGACGTCAGAATGTTATTTGCTTCGCCGATTATAATAAAGTCCTAATATTATGAATTGATTTTATGTACATATATGCAGTGCTGTAGTGGAGGGTATACGGGGGTATACGCCGTATACCCTTTGCTTTTAAAGTTTAGATACCGTATACCTAGTGGTTTTACTTAAAAATAGCGTATACCCTATGATTTTGTTCAAATTTTTTATTAAAAATTTATTATTTTCTTTCTTTGTAATAGTAAAAAAAAAATGATGATAAAAGTTGTACTGAAAAATTGCAAAAAATTTTCAAATTAACAATTCACACAAAATATTTCATTCATTTAGTAAAAATTTCTTGGGAAAAATATATCAACTATATTCAAATTAATAATCAAACAAGCCTCCTTACCCATGCTAAACTACGTTATTGTGGACGTTAATTTTGCTTATTCTTTAGTTTATTTGAAGTTAGCAAAAGCTGTTGACAAAATAACATTGATTTTCAAAAAAATATAATTTTGAAAACTTCTTTAAGTAAGTTTATTGATACTGGCTTAAGTTTATTTAAATTGTTTTTAATTGTTGATGAAAAGTTGGTGTTTGTGGTGTTTGTAAAAGTTGTATGTAATATTTTACGTCTTTTTTTCAAATAAAAATATAATTAAAAATAACCTTGTTTATTTTTACCAAAAATTTATATTCTCAAGCGTATACCCTATGCTAATTTTACGACTACAGCACTGCATATATGTATGTATGTATACAATTTATATTTTTTTTATTACTTCCTAAAGTTGTTACTTTTTACTAGTTTGAAATTACAAAAAAAATCGAGATGAAAATATTTTATTTTATTTAAGAATGAAATTATGAAATTTATTTTCTCTTTGATAACTAGCTGTCAAGTGAGACTCCGTAAATGTAAAATGCGTGTGAACTTTGTAAAAAATTGTGCACCTAAATTCTGAGTTTTGTTGGCATTAATATCAAAAAAAAATGTAAGTTGTCATTTAAAATTTTACATATATCATTAAAGAGTGATATATTTGGTATTTCAAAAAAAGTGATATATTTGGTATTTCGACTTGAAAACATTGTACGCCTAAAATTCTGAAAATACAAAAAAAATTGCAGACAAAATTGGACATTTTGGAATAGATATTCGGTGGGCGTACTACTTGACAATTCAAGTTTACAGTGCTTCCGCTACTGCATTTTTGCAAGATCATTGCCAAATTTTGTGCACATTATGAATTTACGAAAACTTCACAAGACAAACACGCTGATAAATCCTTGGTGAAGTTAGGACGAATAACATTTATATATACACATCTTCCAAAGCAAAAAAAAGTTAGAATTCTGATTTGTTTAAAAAAGTATAGTTAAAAAAAATGAAGTTTTCAAACCTTCGTTAACGGCATAGCTAATTAACTTTCTTTAATATTTTCCCAAAATAATTTACTTAATTTTAATCTTTAATAGTTTACTATTATTATTTTCATTAATAATAAATTTCATAACAAAAAAATTAACAAAAAATTTTTCATGTTTTTATTATACATATGACTTCGCCTGGTTTAAATTTTTACATGAATATTTCGAAGCATATGGTATTATAGAGTTCTACAATTTCAAGTAAAAAATTTTTATATTTTTTAAAAAAAACTTTAATAAAACAAATATATAAACTAAATTTTGATATTAAGGTACATAAGATAAAAGTAACAAAATAATCTATTAAAGATTAAAATTGAAATTTTTTCATATTTTTCGAGAATTTTTCCACCAATTTGTCAATGATGTTGCATTCGAAAACATTTGTTCTGCTTTCAAATACAATTTTTCTTTTTTAACTTCAGATATCAAAAAATAAATTCAAAAAATCTTTAAATTTTATAATTTCTTCTTTTTTTACATTTTTACTTATAAACTAAAGAAAGCTGTTAAAATTAGCAACATAATCGACTATTTTTATTCATACTCGTCCTCTAGTCCAGGTGGTGGAGGATCAATATCCCAACGTGATTTTTTTGAAGGTGGAGACGAATTTTGACGGTCTGCAGAATCTCTTGAGTTGCTATTACTATCTGTTAAATCAATATCGTCGGGAACCATTTGAAGAAGCTCTGCTTCACTTAAATTTGCTAATCTGCTGCTTCCATCTGACAAAGAATTTTGTGTAAGTTGTGTTTTAAAGCCTTTACTCTCTGCTTCTGAAAAAATCATATACACCCTTTAAAAAACATAAATTACAACATTTTAATGCACTTAGTGGCAAATGTTAGTAAAATAATATTAATGTATTTTTAAAAATAATTTATATTTCAAAATAAGATTCCTGATTTTCACAAGTGAAAACTGCTTTGCACAAGTGAATAATTTATTCCATAGCATTTTTATTTTCTTCTGAAATTAAAATGTATGCTAACAATAGTCTCGCGAAATGTAAAAGCTTTTAATTTATTAGGTAATGGTAAGATTTATAAAAAAAATCTTTAGGGTTTAATAGAAAATCAGAACTCCATTTGGTAATTTTTATGTAATAAGAAAATATTTTTTTTAAATTAGATTAAAGCTTGGCTAAATATACAAAACATAATCATATAATAAACCTGTTTTTGTATTATAAAATTCAATTTCTGGGTTGTACTCCTCTTGACTTATATTACATGCTGAATTTTCGTGACTTGTTAGAACGTCATTACTTTTTTCTATTGAAATTAAATCACTTGCTTGGTCTGGTTTTTGAATACTCGCTAATATTTGTTGTAAATTTGACGGTATTGATATATTAGCCAAAGCTGGTGCTAATTCAGCTGTAGTTGCTGGTAGAGTAACCTAAAAATATTAAAATATAAAAAACTTTCCTTTATTTAGTGATTTTTCTCGTACACTTCCTAAATTTTCTATCTCCTTTTTTTCTTTTTCAATCTGTCTTGTTAATTCTTCGACTTTACGTTGTAATTCATCTGTAGACACAGGTATGGCAGCATTAGAAACGCAACCTGAACTAATGTCTACTTTCGTGACCGGCAAAATACTAAGCTCCTCATCTGAACTACCACCCGGAGAATATGGTTCATCAGCGTCATCTGCTTCATAAATTCCTAAAAAAGAACAAATCAATTAAATTCATTCAAAAGAAAGAAAAAATTCTGATGCGATACCCTTGTCAGATGTATGTTGTACTGTTAAAGCAGTGATCTCTATTTCATTATCAGTCGTCTTTTCCGGCAAAATACTGAAAACTTTTGTACCAGCCATGATTATATGTGGACTTTCTGGCTTATAATCTTCTTCTGTTAATTCACCTAAACCTAATATTTTTTTATTTTGTATCACAGTGGTTTCTCCTTTTAATATGCTTGAGGATGAGTTTGGTGGCAACGGTTTTCTTACAATTTTACTTATTGATTCAGAAAGTAAAGATGATGATGAAGTTGTTGTGGTATTATACCGCTTTGAATGGCCGAAATCCATTATTCGAATTATGATTCCCACTAGTAAATCCGGTTTGGAATCATCATCCAAAGATTCTGAATTAAAAACCGTTTGTAATATTGCTGGCAATTCTGTTTTTGCTTGCAAAGGCAAAATATAAAAATCTTTTATTCCTGGTGAAGTAGATTTAACGACACCCAAACGTTTACGCTTTTCTAAATACAAATATAAAGCTGTGTATGCATTAGTTTCTGATTCTGGTGAGGGAACTAAACGAACTAACACAATTTCTTTGTTTGGGCTTTTCTTTATTTTGCCAATATAGTCCCATACTGTATCTGGTCCAATTCTTCCAACAACATCCAGCTCTATAGGAAATTCTTTTTCAATATATGTGCAATTCCCAGAAATAGGTTGTATAACAATGTTGAATGTTGCTACATCTATCATGTTGATATTTCCTGTCCAAATTATTGTTGAAATGTCAGACGCGTAATGTTTGTAAGGATCCTCAGGAGGTGTTGGAATTGTTACTGTACTAGAAGGTAATTCATGTTCCGAATCGTTACCCGAAGAATCAGTTCTTTTCATATCTCGAAGAATATCGAGAGTCTCAGCGGTATATTTTGGAGTCGAAGATTGTGAATCAGCTGGTTTAACCAAAGATTTTTCTTTTCCTAGTACAATGGGAACAAGATTTGCAGCTTCTTCAATGGTTTTTTCTGATTCTGCAAAAATTTTGTCGATTAAACTATATTCTGAAAGATTTGTATTGCGAGATTTCTGATTAAATATTTTATTTTTATGTATCTTATTTGAAGAAATTTGTTTATTAACACCGGATGAAGAATATTTTTTATTGGATACTAAAGTTTCGGATGTTGTTGTTGTTGAGGTTGGGGTGAATGATTTCAAATCATTTTTCAATTTCGAAATTAGATCTTTCCTACATTCTTCACCTTCTAACGGTGGAGAACTGCTATTAACTAATGTAGTAGGCCTGTGATGTTGATGAGTTTGTCCAGAAGATTGATGGCGACGCCTTTTCCTTTCTTCATCTTCCTCCAAACTTGGTGAATATGTATATGAACGTCGTTTATGCTCGTAATTAATCTTTTTATCATCCTCGAAATGGTAACGCGAACATTGATAAAGCTTTTCTTCTTTTTTATCAAATTTGCTTAAGGTACGATCCGGTTCAACTTCGTCAGCATAATCGAAATTTTCGCTCTTCTCATCTTTTTCTTTCCTTTTTTTATTATCACTTGCACTTGATAACTTGTACTTACATTTGGAAGAAAACTCGTTTTCATCAAATCCATGTAGCTCCTCCTCAGGCTCATGATGAACTGGTTGACGACAATGATTTCCATCTGTTTCATCATAGTATGCAGATGTTTCTTTTCGATTTGTAATATCAACAATATCTTGTTCGGGAGATTGCGTAAATTTTTCTTTTACATGAGCTTTGTGGTAATGTGATCTAGTATCTTCTTCCTAAAAATATTAATAATAGTAGATAACAATATACTTAGAATTTTTTCAATTACCTTTTGTGGTGTTTTACGGCGTTTTCTATCCCTGCTTTTGCTACGACTTTTACTTCTTCTCGAGGATTTTTCTCTATGGCGATCTTTATTTTTGTAGCGCTTTTCTTTTTCTTTGTCTTTCTTGCTGTCCCTTTTTTTAATACTATCTATTTCGCACATATGTTCAGAAGTTTCTACAATTGTACTCTCAATTTTCGTAATACTGCTCCCTAAACTGCTATCGACATCATTTTCCTGTGTTTGTGTCGTAAATTTAATGGAATCCCAATTCGATGTAATTTTTTCTATTTCACTAGTACTGCTTACAGTAGAATTATTAAGAACTGCGACTACATCTTCTACAGGAATAGTAATGTCTAAATTAACTCTATCTGTCAGTTTATCTTCGATTACTTCCTCCCCTTTATGGGTTTTTAGTACATAGTTTTTAGCACAAGATAAAAGATCTAATTCAGATTTCTTGATCATTTCCAACTGATGTTTATTTTCATTTTCACGCCATTGTGCTAGCTCTTGGCTTGCCAATTCTTCTGGAGTCATTCTCACCAGTTGTTTAGGTTCAATACTCTTTTCGCAAATTTTTTTAAATAACGTTTTGTTCTTATGATCCTTTATATTAAAGACTAATGACCGATACTTTGCCTTGTATTTGACACCAGTGTCTTTAAAGAGCTCAAACATTTCTTCCTCAGTTTCGTTAGCGTATTTTTCACATTCATGTTCCGACATTTTTGGATGATTTTCTTCAGTAGTTTCTGCTAGACGTGTTATTAGTTTTTCCTTTAATGTTCTTTTAACATTTAATCTAATTGGTTCTGAGTTTTGAATTTTCTCTTTATCTGGTTCTGTTTTTTCCTTTTCTTTTTCTTTTGAAGATTGCTTCTTTACAATCGCTTTAGTTGGACTTTTTTCCGACTTACTTTGCCTTTCTGTCTTCTCGCTCTTTTCATTTTTATCAAATTTTAATTTTTCTAATTTTTCCATTTTATTTTCCGTGCTTTCACATGTGCCATCTTGTTTTATTTCAGATTTTTCTCCTTTAGACGGGAAAATGTGATGAATTGTTAGTAGTTTTTGAGTCACTGGTTTATGCATGACTTCATTTACTTCTTGAAGCTGACCATCCGATTTTGGAGAGGGGTTAGATGATATGGATTTTATTATTTTGATTACATGTTTCTGCTGTGATAACGATCTCGTTGGTTGTTGTCGATAAGATTGAACTGAACGCTGCTGTGCTTCTGATGTCAACACAATTTGAGATTTTTGTTTTTGTTTGTTCCTCTAAAATAAAAAAAATCAAAAATACTTAATAAAGCAATTGTATTCTTATCAAACAGTTTCAAACCTCTACAGCTTGTGCTTGCGGACTTCCAGGTTGAATCACTTCAAATGTAGGGTTTTCTTGTAACCATCGTTTTAAATTAGCAGTTGTTGGGGCATTGTTTCCTGTTAAAATTTTTCCAGTTTTCCGTTCAAAAACACATACCTATCAAAATTTTAATAATTTTGTAATTAAAAAGTTTCACTTAGCTAAATCAAATTTTATTGTAATAAATGGTGAAGCTTAACGTACTATAACGGCGTTCATATTTGGCGACCTCGGCGTCATCAATACGGTATATTAAATTTTCGCCACGTTCTACGTTGATAAAAGAGAAAGTTGCAAAATTCTGAAGAATTATCATTGAAGTAGCTTGAATTAGAAAAGAAGTGATCATCCCTAAAATGATCTTATAATATTTAGCAGAAGGAAGAAATCCAGTTTAGTAGCACAACTTTTGGAAAAAGTGGACGATATACGGGAGTCCTTTAAAATAACGGATGAAAGAATAGGGAGAAATTTATAGAAAGATGGGAACATTCTTATTTCGAAGATCTTTACCAGTAGATAAGTTTACCAGTAGGATAAATACAAGCAATATAAAGCAGAAAGCGCGGACTCAAACTGAAAGTAACGTAATTGAAAATAAATAATAATATGAAAAATCAAGATGAAAAACTCGACATGAAAATATTTCGTTATGAGGTTAGATAATCCTCAAAATAGCGACTTTTATATAAATACAGTACAAAATATGAAATTTGATTACAAGGTTTAATTACGCGATTTCAGGATCTCGAACTAACAACAACAATAGTCATACAATGAGATTGATGCAAAACTTCCTAATGTCATAATTTCGATGTTTGATGTGAACTATGTTAAATGGGTGCTTTGTAATCTTTTTAGTCAAATGATAGATAAACATGTGGTACTTAGAAGGAAACATAGTTGGAAAGCAAAACGATTAAATAGGCATTTGGGCATTTAAAGCGACAACAATAAAATATCATGGCAAATTCTAGAAGAAAGGTTCAAAAACAAAAGATTGATGGTTAATATATTGGAAAAATTATCCAGGTAGCGAAAAAAAGTATAGCAGGTACCAAAATTTTGATAATAATGTTAGATATATAATTTCGTACCTTGCATTCATTTTAATTATTATTGTTGTTTCACTTAACAATAACTTTTTTTATAAATACTGTAATAATTAATATTTCTTTCTCCAAAACAAAAGGTTCACTTAACCTATTTACAAAATGTAAAGAAAGTCTTTTCAAAATGAAAAAATTTTAAAAAATTTACTTTCAGTCTTTAATTAGTTGCATGACATGCATTGTTTTTGATATTTTTTGTAAATGTAAGTTTATTAATCCTTTATAGAACATAATCGCGTTAAAATAATTTTTCTAATGAAGAAACCACAAAAGAAAAGGGACAAAAACGAAGAAGTTCGACATATTACAATGTAAATAAAGTCTTTTCAAAATTAGTTTTTTTAATCTAATATTACGCAAAAAAGTAAAATGCAGCTACAATTGTTAAATTTAATACTTTACGTGGTAGCCCGTAGATTTGGAACAGACTAAAGTCATCGTTTCATAGAAGTAGTCAATCTTTCCATATCATTTTAATCCGAAATTTTGGACAATTCTTCTATAATATGTTTTATAAGGTCATTTTTGGATTTTAGTATACTTTTCGTCAAACTTTACTTGAAGTGGGCCCAAAAATTCTCAATTGGATTGAGGTGTGGACTTTGGGTTAGTGTTTCGAAAACTTTTAGGCAGTCATGAAGCAAACAGCTTCTTACCAAATAAGATTTATGCTGCAAGCGGTTATACCAATAAAATTTATAATAAACAACAAGACCAAATTTTTCGACTTTGTTTACCAGGTTCGTTTTTAAATTGCTATAAAGTGCAGTTCCCGAGGCCTGATATATGCCAAAAGTTGATCAATCCGTGCCATGGTCGAAAAAAACTTACATATAAAATTCATCGAAATCGGTCCAGCCGAACTTGAGATACACGCGTACACATAGACCGACAGACCGACAGGTTGCTACAAATAGTTTATTTACACTTCCCTACCATGGAGAAGTGCATTCCCACCGAAAACTCGATATGCAAAATTTGTTCCCATCACATAACCTACCTATTGTATACACAATACGGTCGGTAAAAACACAAAAAATGATAAGGCTCCTGGTTATAACCTAATTACCGGAAGGATATTAAAAGAATTGGCCTAGGCAATAACGTAGATAGTAGCGGAAGCACTAATTATTCTTAAACCTTCAAAACCTGCTACTAAAATAGATTCATACAGACCAATATCATTGATTCAGAAGCTAATCCAGATCACCAATTTTATTTTCGTCGTCAATATCCAAGAATTGATCGAATAACATGTTTGATAGAACGCGCTTTGAAAAAAAAAAAAAAACTGGTCTGGTGCATTCCTAGAGGTGTCTCAGGCTTTTGATATGGTTCAGCAAAAAGGTTTATTAAGAATTCTTATAAGTTATAGGAAATAAGAAAAAGGTTTATCAAAATTAAGGGACCTACTAAAACCGTATTACGAAATTCTAACCTCCTAACACTTAAGAGTGAAGCAAAATAATGAATTCTCTGCTTTTAAAGAAATAAAGGCAGGAGTGCCCCAGGGTAGCGTCCTAGGTTCTGTATTATGTTTATTATGCACCAAGAGATTCCAAGAGATAATGGCATTCTCATGGGAACTTTTGCAAATGATACAGTTATCATGGCTACTGGTACCACTTCTGCTGAGTTTCTGCTGAAATTGAGCTATGGACCGAGAAGTGGAAAATTAAATTAGATAGAAATAAATCAATGCATGTATTTTTTACTAATCGAAAGTTTCAACCAATAAATGTACAGTTAAACAATGTAACAATTTCTATTATTTATTAATTACACTAATCAAACTGGCTTATTGGAAGAAATTCAAAAGTCAACCTACATAATAAACTTTTGATATACAGGGTGATTCAGAAAGATATACAACAACATATACCATTAGTTAGAGCATCGAAAATGGGTAAAACATTTGTTACGGAATGCGTGCCAAATCTCAGAGATTTCCGAGTTCCAGGGGTTTTAACGAATTTTCATTTATCCGAAATTTTTATTTATGCAAGTTTTTTTGAATATAACATGCGTTCCAAAAAAGATGGAGACTTCAAGCAAACAGTTTCTGAAAGACCTAGTAAAGGGCTTAAAATAAACATATCGTTTAATTCTGTATTTTATGTATCTTCGGAATACAAAGCATTCGACCTTTAGGCAAAATCAAATTTTTCATTTGTTTTATTTCTTCAATTTTTTCTAACTAAATAATTTCGTAACAGAGAAATTTCTTATAGAGTTTTGCCCAGCTGCTTAAACTTTAATTTAAGTCCTCAAACATTAAAAAAAATTTATGGTACAGAAGATATAGCACTAAAACCATTTCTAAGTGAAGATTTTAAGGCTTTATTTTTTATTATTTTTGATTTTTACAGATTTTAAGTGCCGTAATTATCAACTATCATTAATTTTCGATGACACTCTCGATGACGATGACACTTTCGGTGACTCTCACTCGAAAAAACACAGTTAACATTTTTAAGAACCTTTATTTTGATAAAAAATCTGAATTTTAATATTTTTATTGAAATGTAACAAATAAGAACAAAATTGAAACGAAATCTTATACAAATTTTTAGTTTGAAAAACAAAAATTGATTTTAAAAAATTTGAAATTTTTGAAAAGAAAAACTAGAATTTTATACATATTTGGAAGACCAAAAAAAATCTTGTAATCAAAAAATTTTTTTCGAAATTTTTCTTGGTAAAGAAAACTGGTAGGTTTTTAATTTTTGATAGTTTTCATAAGAAATGGTAGCTATATGGTTTGAAATTGTTAAATGCATTTTTCTCACATTGGGTGCAATTTAAAAGTGAAAAAAATATTTTATCTGAAGTTGTTAAAATTATCCAGCTGAAACGAATTTTTAAAGGCATGCCATACAAATTTTGACTTTTATTCTAATAGAAAAAAATTTTTTTTTTAATAGGAAAATTTAATTTTTTACACAAAATGGAGTTTGTAAATGATATGGTATTAACATTATTAAAATAATAAATAATTAACAAATAATTTAAGGGAATTTTTTGATAAAGGAATATTAAATGGAATTTAATTTTAGTTTTAGAAACATCTGGTTTGATTTTAATTAAATTTTTGGTTCACAATATTTGTGGTTTTTGTGCTATCTCTTCTGTAACATAAAAAATTTTTTAATACTTGACGACTTAAATTAAAGCTTAAATGGCTGGGCAAAATTCTATAAAAAAAATTATAAGGTTTAAAAACATTTCTTACGAAATTATCTATTAGAAGCGACAGAAAAATAAAACAAGGGATAAATTTGATTTTGCCTAAAGTTCGAGTGCTTTGTATTCCGAAGATACATAAAATACAGAATCAAACAACATGTTTATTTTAAGCACTTTACTTGGCCTTTCAGAAATTGTTTGTTTGAAGTCCCCATCTTTTTCAGAACGGAAGTTATAATCAAAAAAACTTGGTTTAGTAAAAATTTCGTGAAAATTCGCTAAAATCCCTGGAACTCGGAAGCCCTTGAGATTTGGCACCCAGTCCGGAACAAATGTTTTACCCATTTTCGATCCTCTAACCAATGGAATATGTAGTTGTATTCCCTTCAGAATCACCCTGTATAAACAAGTTATCAAACTTTTTGGATCTATGGTATTTAACTCTGGGGATGCATGAAAAAACAAACACTCAAATCATCTAACGATGTCAAAACATAATTTTAAGAACAATCGCCAAGGTACCATAATTCATCCATAACGATACTTTACATAGAGACCTGGAAATAACCACCGTAGAAGAAGAAATTAAATACAATGCTACTAAACACCAAAATAGACTTCAGAATCATGAAAACATCAATATGATTCATATTACCAATGAGAACAATGAAACTATGAGAAGACTTAAAAGCCACTGGACTTAGTGCTTTAACTAAGTGAAAATTTAACAACTTATCTACAATGGGACAGCTCATCAATGGATGGAATCCCACAAACCGTGATATAATTTTAAGAAAACAAAATTGTTAAAAAAACCCTTTGAGCTTAATTGCAGTATACATACATATATAAAAAATTTTTTTTTCTTATAATTAGTTCTTCAAAGAAAAAATTCATGAAAAGATTCTGAAAGAGATTATGAAAAATTTTCAAACTAACTACATATTTAACTGCAATCAAAATCCGATAGATAAACTTATAATATTCTCTACAATAAATCCATTAGTGTACTATTATTTAAATCTACATCATCAAAAAGTCAAATATGTACAAATATACTTACATATATAGAATGCCAGACAAACTAATTTGAATAGTCAAAATTTACACAAATTCAATATAATTTTTGCTACTACATAAACATGCAACGACATTTGATAAGAAAGATAAGCAAAAAAGTAACAAGAAAAAAAAATAAAAAGATAAATTTAAGATAAATTAATTAATATAAAGATCAATGGGATAATATTAAGAATTTTACTAATACAACATCATAGTAGTGAAATTAATAAGTAATGTGCTTATTGCACTAATAATTTCAATGAGAGAATCTAGCTTTAGAAACAATTCATAAACTGATGACAGATATTATCAATTTATATTAAATAAAGAATATTTATTAGATGTAAGTTTCATAAAAAAATAAAAAAATCACAAAAAAAGCTAATATAATAATAAAATTTTCGAAAGGTTTTTTTTTGCCATTTTTCCTTTGCTTCAATAAATTATTGTGACTTATAGTTCATAAATCATTCATGTACTATCGAAATATATTAATTACATCTTCAAAAGTATTAAAATAAACTAAACAACTGCACATGTACTAGTTTTAAGGAGAATGTAAAAAATTTGGGCAATAAAAATTTAAAAAAAAAAAAGAATATTTAATATAAATAATAATATTTAAAAATGAAATTATTGATTTAAATAATGAATTTATATTTAATATATCAATAAATATATATATATATATATGTATTTTTAATTATTGACTATTAAGTATTCCCTGGGGGGTACCAGGCGGGTCTGCGGGTTGCAGAATCACTACATTACAAAGTGTATAATGTAGTTAGTGCACTGAATTGCACCCCGAACCAGCTCAAAGTTACCTTATACCTTAACAAGTTGAAGTATTTGTGTCATTGTGTTGATTGAATGTATTTTTATCATAGAAGAATACTAGAAATTCTGATGAGTTTTTTTTAAATACTTAAAAGAAGATGAAAAAATAAAAGGAACAAAGTTGTAACGTTATACTTGAAAATAAATGGATTATATTAAAAAATTCATGACAGAAAAAAGAAGAATAATCTATGGTGACCAAAAACGTTGAACAAAAGGAAAAATATTTGGAGATATGAAAATTCATTCGATGCGAATAGAATGCGAAGTAACCAAAAAGGTAATTTTTGTAATGATGAATTCCATAATAGAAGCTTGTCATATATTAGCAGCGGCGGAACTTTATATGTAAGGATCATGGCTTTTGAAAATTAAAGTCATATAACAATAGAAATGATACCAACAGAAAAACCTCAAAGAACGTTAGTCGTCTTGGGGCTTATTAACTCAATTGGAAAAAAAACCAAGAAAGTTGGGAAATTGGTAATGAATACTGCAGCAATGTGTATTAATTCAAAAAGATTTTAAAAATGACAGCGGCAAAGAATTAGGAATGCCTTATTTTTTAAAAAGAAATTTGCAAAAGTCCTCCAACAAAATGTGATGTTGCTTCATGTACAATGAAAATGGTTTAAATAGGAACAATCGTCTATTTAAATGATAAATCGAATATTTTGAAAAATAAGTTAGAGTTAGAATTCGAATTCTAACTTATAAAGAATAACTGAAAATCACGGTGTTAACCAAAGTGCACATTCGGAATCATGTAGCCTCTTCCCAATAAAAGGACATAAAAAACTAATTTTAGGTATAGCAAAATCATATTATTTTTTAAGTGTAATTTTATTTTCTTTTAATTGAAACTTATATGAAAATATGGAGGCTTTATTTTAGGGAAAAAAAAACGGCTAACGATTTGCATCCCACAAGGGGAAATCGTACTCCATATATATGAAGTTTAGGAAATTTTCTTAAATAACACCAGATACATATAATATTTGGGAAATTATATTCTCAATCTAGTTGACAATTATATTGACAATTTAGTTGGGAGATTTATGGATTCTCCATTTGTAAGTTGGGAAAACTATATTCCCCATTTACTTTATAACATGGTGGAATTTTGATTCCCCCATCACATGTAATAGAGGAATCCTCAATTACATGTAATATAGAGGAAAATACGCTCCCATATTTACGATGGGCGATACCGCATAAAAAAAGGTTAACAAAAACTTCTTGTCCGTTAAAGTTGAAAAATTATTTAATGGCCAAACCAAAAAAAAATAATAAAAAATCAATGTCAAATATATATTATTAATATACATGTAATTAGTAAAACTAATAGGCAATTATACATACATATTTGGCTTCTTAATACAACTTTGTGTAATTTTAGAAAAAATTTGAAATTTTCATTTTTATTTTAAAGTTTATATTGTGAGAGAATATTAGATGTTTGATGTGAATATCTGCAAACATATGTATATATAAATATATTTTCGATTCAAAATAGCGAAATTCCTTTATAACATTTTTGTGTAAAATGAAAAATTAGGTTTAAATTCGATTTTTGTTATATACATACTTTTACACTATTTTGTATTACTTATTGTAAAATTTATATCAAAATAAGAAAGTTTAATTTCCAAGCATTATTAGTCCAAAAAAATTACGTACCGAATGTTATATGTGCCATAAAATTATTTAAGTATAATTAACATAAAACAAATACTCACCCTCTCAATTTTTTTCGGAGTAGGTAAAGAAGCGTTGCCCAAAGCTTCTTCAAATGAGCTTGGCTGCTTTTTCTTTTTTTCTACTCCGTCGGAGCCTAGGCCTGGAGAAGACGCAACACTTGGTAATTGATTTTTTGTTGCTTTAAAAGATAGAGCATCGTGAGCATGTTTTCGGATACAATCATCACTGCAATAAATTGAGTTTGGTCTAGCTTGTTGCTTTTTACATACAATACAAAAAATTATTTCAAGTTCTAAAGGCCTCTCTTTTGTTGCATTTAAATTTTTTTCTTTTACTTCATGTGATTTATTTGTCCCTGATTCGTGGTCTCCTGGCGTTGGAGACGTTTTTTTTTTATTATAAAAATTAATAGTTTTTTCTGAAACATCCTTCGGAAGAGGACGAGTCCCCTTCAAAATTCTTTTCTTTAGCATAGTGTCATTCGAAGAATGTAAATCAATATTTTCTGTCGAAGATGATTGTATTGGTTCAGGCAAAGGAACCCCAATAATTTCAGATATTTTTTGTTGCATAGATTTCGAAAGAGGAGTCGTTAAAGGTGGGATAATTGAAACTTCGCTTGGCTTCCTGCTATTTAGTTTTTTAGAAGAATTTTTATTTTTTTCTTTTTTATCTTGTGCTTCAATTTTCGGAGTTGATAAATTCAATTTAGTGGTTAATTCAACAGACTGCTTTTCAAACATAATTTTAATGTTTTGTTGTTTTTTACCATCCTTACAATTTGGACACGTCCATTCAATTTTTTTTAGTTCCATTTCTTTCCCCATGTTCTTTGTTACACCAACACATGTACCGTGGAACCAATCCTCACAACTATCGCAACATATCATAAACCTATTGTTATGAGGTTGACGACATATGCACCATAATTTATTAGGATCATCTTCGTCCTCTCCCTCACTTGATTCATTTTCGGAGCAATCTTCAGATATTGATATTGCAGCAGAAGATTGTTTTTGCTTTTTAACTGATTCGATAACAGGTCGTTTTTGTTGATCTTTTGAGGTTCTTAACGAGCTTGAGCTTCTATGTTGCTGCTTTGTAGGTGGAGCTGATTTAGGTGTCATGGGAAATTCAGATTCAGATGCTTCTGACGCATTCGAAGATACAGGGGGAGTTGGTGTATCAGAAGTCGTGGCTGCAGCGCGACGCTTAGCTCTTGTGGTTGGGGCTTCAATAGGAGGGAGGGTTATTACACGCCCACTTCTCGAAACTACTTGCACCGGAGGCTGAAGGGAAAATGATTGAGATTCTTTTAAGTTATAATTGTTTTTTTCCGAAGAAGTTTTCAGCGAGTTTCCCTGATTCAATATATCATCATCCCGATTTAAATCGTTTTGTGTTTGAGATTTTTCCAAAATGTTCCTAGCACAATCGTTTTTCACGTCTATATTCTGATGTACAGGCTGCATTAAAAAGTTTTTAGGGATATTTGTTTCAAAATCTGTAACATTAAATGACTGATTTAAACGTTGGTTTTGCAATTGTTGTTGCTGCTGTTCCTCTACAAGTTCTTGCAAAGTTTTATGATCTATAAGTTCAGCCATATCTTTAATTAAATCCTCAGGAATATCGTCTGGTGTTTCTAATAATGGCGCATTCGAAATATCAACAGAATCCACTTGACTAGCAGTAGAGGCAAACGCAGAATGTGATGTATTTGAATGAATTATAATAGGTTTTTTTTGAAAGGTTTGCTGATGGGTAAAAGAATTTTCATTTGAAGTATTTGGATCTTCATAAGTTTTTATTATTTTAATTGTATTTGCACTGCATTTTGTTGGATCGGGATTCCGAATTTGCCCCCTTAATGAATCAGATAAATTTATTTCTTTTTGGGTTTCGATATTTTCGAAAGAACGTTCGTCACTTTTAACTACCTTCTGTTGAACCTGAACAGATATTTGTGCCGGCAGCATTTGGGATTTAATTTTATCTGGTACTAGAGGCATAAATCCTTTTTTAGATATTCGACTTGGCGATAAATTTGATGTTATATTGTTAGCAATTGATACTGATCTCTGAAAAAAAGAATTGAATATTTACTTCTAAGATAATGTTAATATGCTTTGTAAATTACCATTTCTTGTTCACTCCTACGCAAAATTATTGCTCCGGAGCTATCCGGTTTAATCAACTCACAAACTTGAACGTTTGAACTTCGCATATTATCTGTTTTAGATAAATATTTCGTAATATCAGTAAATCCTCCAGATGTGTTACCCAATTGTTTTTTGTTAGGTGGCTTAATAATGACAACATTTTGAACCACAGGTTTACCACTAGGGTCTCCGCTGGGCTTCCCAGTTCCTGTTATAATATTTGATAGAATATCAGGTCGAGAATTTTTTTGTATATTTTGGACTTGAGGAACTGGTTTTGCGGCATTTTGTGTAGTATTTAAAGACTGCATTCTATTTTGAACGCGTATTTCCATTTTAGAAGAAGTAACTAACATTTTTGCAGGAGATTGTGCCACATTATATTTGATAGGAGCTATTTTTTGGATATTGATATTTGAGGAGGAAATTGGGGTTTGTGGAATCGTTTGAGCAGTATACGATTTATCTAACCCCTTAACAAATTTTGATTTTTTGTCATCTTCTTGGCACAAGTGGTTTTCAATGTTTGTAGATTGCCGCTTTTTCAATATTTTATTTTTGAATTTTCGCTTAGGAAATTTTTTATTTGTTTTCCGTTTGCGTCCTGTTCTATCATTAACATCAAAATCTAGATCCGAATCGCGGTCATTGTCAGTATCTGCTGACTCTTCACTTTCAGAGTAATCAGAACCGTTTTCATCTTCCAAAGATTCATTATCCTCATATTCGTCAATTATTTTTTCATTTTCATCGTTTCCAATAGATTTTTCTGCAGCCCGATTCGCAGCATTTTGTGCTTTAATAGCAGCCATTTTCTGTGCAGCTTTTACTGATGTAACTGCTGATATAGTAGATGTTGAAAGGGGTTTCGGTTCCGGTTTCCTCTCAAGTAATTCGCTGGGCGATGTTAATGGAGTATAACAGTGATCATTTTTCAAAGCCTTCATTTGAATTTCAAAGTCTACTGATACTGTCAGTGGTTGAAGGCCCGATAATGCTAAAAAAAAGAGTAAAAAATATTATTAATTTTGCTGTTACCCGGATTTGAATACCTACCAAGTGCAGCTTTTGTTATTTCCTTAGTTTTATCTGGTAAACAAAAATCTTCTATGATTAAACCAACAGCTTCAGGTTTTTCTTTTACTATTTTCTTTGCTTCTTCTATATCATCATATCTTTCTTCTTCAGATTCCAACTCGGAATCTGTGCTTTTTTCTGAATGTTCAACATCTTCTTTTTTATTTCTCTTTTCATTTGCATCTGTTTCTTTATCTTCGCATTCTTTTTTTTTATTTCTTTTTATTTCGTTATCACTTTCTTCTTCATCTTTCATACTTGGAGTTGGCGAAGTTAAGCGCACAACACTTATTGTAGAAAGTCCTTTATCATCTAAATACATAATAAAACTATAAATTATAAAGTATCAAATCACAAAAATTTAAATTGAATAAGATATATAATAATTAAAATTGAATAATTATTCGTGGGCGCGAAATTTTAGGTATTCGTTTTGCTTTTACTAAATTTTTGCCAAGAAACTAGACTTACCAATCAAGTTTTCAAGACCTTCCCTGTCTACATTATTAACACCATTTTTACCATAAACAACAACCAAATTGGAATCGCTCATTCGCGACTCATTTGTTGATATTGGGCTCTCAGCGAAGATGGAACTAGACATTTTTTTTAAAGTTTAATTAATATTTTATCAGTTTAAGTTATGGAAACTTGTTTCTGTGTAGAAATTTATTCATATTTAGTGTAAAAACTCCACAAACTTTGTCATTCTTCTATAGTTTCAAAAAACGCCTCTCCCTTTGTATAATGACGCTTTTGAGACAAAATAGCTTTTCAATAACTTAAGCTCAATGTGTACCACTTAATATTTATTTACGCAGTTTAAAATCTTTCCTTTGAAAGATTTTCCCTTTATTTTTATAAACTCTTCACAAAATTTAAAATGCAAAAAATTTTATTTTGGCATAAACTTAATAAAAAAAATAATGCGCAAAATGGCGTGGTTTCATTACTGTCATAACTTACTTTTCGATTTTCATTTTTTTCTTCAAATTTTGACAATTTCGAAAATGCTGCCAACAAGTAAATAATAAATATATGGAATGGTCATTTTCAGTACCCCTGGTAGCTGTTGTCGAAATTAACATGTGTACTTAAATTTTTTGTATACGGCTTCCCTTCTGTAACTTAAATAATGCACTTTGTACGTTGAATTTATATTAAATTTGAAGAGGTTAACACGAACCGTTAAATTTATATTGAGTTTGAAGAAGTGTATACAGACCACTTCTGTTTTTCTAATTGATTAATACATTAATTTTCAAACAAAAATGTTAACGCCACTTGCGAAAATTGACTTACCCGCTGTGTACCAAGGGTTTGAGTCGCTTACACTTCGTCCGTGTGCGGCTCAAGAAAAATTCACAATTTGCATTGTTTCATAATTGATTAATACATTAATTTTCATAATTGATTAGAAAATCCCATTAAATTAGAAAATGGAATTAAAAAATAAATAACCCTAATAAAACATAAAAAGTAAGAGAAAAAAATTGATACATACATATGATAAAGAAATGAACTGGTTTTTTTGAAAGTGGTATAAGTCCATTTCTTTACATATGCAGATATTTATGGGCTTGCGTTTGAATCAATTTAATATTCTGGCCATAATAACATAATTTGTTATTTTTATGTCTACATAGAACTCTGTTGAAATTTTGATTGTAAATAGTGGAGAGAAGTTGTCTATAAATCACTAAAATTACCATTAACTTAGCCTTTTTAACAAGTGGACTTATACCACTTTTAAAAAAACCAGTTCAAATATCAAATACATACACAGTTTTTTTGAACTCGTTTTTTCTTTCATATTGTAATGCGTATGAATATTTTATATATAGGAAAGTTATCAATAAAATTATTTTCATATTTTAGTTTCTTTCATTCTTTCTTTAATAGTACAAAAAAGAAAAGGGATAAATATGAATTAAACAATAAAAAAATTCAAAATTGCATTTTTTCTTAATATGTTATTTATAAATTACAGGTAACAGGAATGAATAGTAAGTATGTTAAGCAACTTTTACCTTTTCTTCCGCACCCGGACAAAGTGTAGGTGACTCAAATTTTCATTTCCGCATACCGCGTCTACAGAGGTAGCAACTTAATCATTATCATTTCTGTCATTATCTTGCTCGCTGTCAAAAAATTCGTTTTTGGGCTCCACAATCCTATCTTCTTCTACTTGACAAATTCTTATATCCGCATCGGATTCATCTTTTATTCTATTCTCTTCATTTTCTAAACTGTCGGCAGGTATATTAAACATCTGCACACTTGGCGCATGCTGACACATTTTTAAGTTTTCATAGACATGCTTCACAATAAGTTCTAAATACTGTTTTGAATTGGCGTTATCTTGACCTCCTTTAACCTCAGGATGCAATGTAAAATCGGGTGCAAAAAATTCTAAGTATTCCGTCATTGGCAACTCATTAGAAATAGTTTCTTCTACAAGCAAAGACGTCTCGTAGGTCCAACACCGTGCAACGTTTCTTAAAGTGTATCCCCCCCCTCCAACCACCAATACTGGAACATTTAAATCTTTTACAAATTTAACACACTCCCCATGGCCTCTCGTACTTAAAGAAAAGCATCCTAGTCTGTCGCCAGCTAATGAGTCCGCTCCACATTGAAGAACAATTGCTGTCGGTCTATAATATTCCATTACATAAGATATTATTGGCTTGAAAACCTGGAAGTAACTGTTATCATCAATGCCTTCTTTTAGAGGAACATTCACACTATAATATCGTCCAGATTCTGCACCGATTTCATACATATCTCCAGTACCTGGAAAAAACCAATTTCCGTACTTATGAAATGACACAGTCATTACCCTGTCGGTTAGATAGAAGGCTTCTTGAACTCCATCACCATGGTGTACATCAATATCTATATAAAGAACTCTTGGGTGATATTTAAGTAGTTCCAAAATACCTATCACAATATCGTTCACATAGCAAAAGCCTGAAAAAAGCAATACAAAACTTTATATTGTGATACTTTATAGCAATTCTAACCCGAAGCTTCAAATTTCTTTGCATGATGTAGACCCCCGGACCAATTTATGCAAATGTCACTGTGATTGTGATTCAACTTTTGGGCCCCTTCCAAAGAAGCCCCGGTATACATCGCGCAAAATTCAAAAAGACCATCGAAGACTGGGCAATCCTCTCCAACACTAAAGTGTGATAAATATTTTGTATAACCAACAGCTAAAATAAATAATTTCTTACTAAAACATTTTAAATTTTGCAATTAAATTTAACTCACAGTTACATTGAATGTTTTGTGGGGTCACGGTTTGTAAAAATTCAATATATTCATCACTATGAAATCGTAACATATCCTGCGCGCTTGCCCTACGTAATTAAAATTTATTAAGTCATTTATTGAATAAAATTTTCAAATTTACTTATATGGTCGATATATTTTCATTTTTTTATTTAGCCCATAGTTCATAACCAGACTATGAGTGACTGCCAATCTATGTGGTTTCATAGGGTGACCTGGCCCATAATGAAAATTTCCAACATCTGGATTATAAAAGTATGAAACTCTCCTAGACATATTAGAATTTCAAGATTATTTGCTTGCTGTTTTGTATCGATCAAAACTATATGAATCAAAAAAATAATATTTAGCAAAATATACAAAAAAAAGAATCAAAACTATGAAGAGCAAACGGCGCGACAGTGAAAAATCAAGGTTTGGAATACTCATAACTTTTTCCAGATAAACAAAAAATAAAAATATTATTTCATATTTTTAATTTGAAAATCTTTTTATAATCAATCAAAATAACACATTCAATGACTGTAAAGTTAAATTAACTTCAAAACATCAACAAATTGTTTTTTTCTATCAAATGCCAAATTTGTTGAAACCAGGAAATTGTCATAAGGTTTGTTCCACTACCTGAAATTATTATAAAAATTATTGTTTTCTAAAAAAAGACTGAAAAATGATCTTTATTTACCCCTATAAATAATTTAAGACATAAGCGAAATAAACACTTTCAATTACTATTTGGGTTCCATTTACGTGTTACACTTTTCTTGAAGACGTATACGTAGCTTGTAACTGAAATATGTAGTCGAAATTATAGTAAAACATAACCTTAACATTTTTAGAATTATCATGTTTTTTCATATAACTTTTTGTTCTGACAGTTGGTTTAACAAGTCCTCATTATTCGTTTTTCTAAAACCAAAATATATCTATTATTAAGTAGTTCGGCTCGTTACATTCCCTTAGTTTTGGTTTGCATTTTGTTTCCAAATTCTTAAAACATTCCATTTTTATTTGGAAATAGATGGTAATAAGAGTTGTGTAGACAAAAAAGAAACAATATATTGTAAACAAATGAGTGTTTCAAAAACATTGAATTGAAATAAAATTAAATTAAGTTAGAAAAATTTTGTTATTTTTATATTGATAACAAAATTTTTTTTCATATTTTATTTTTCATTTCATAAAAGTTATGTAAAAACATTCGAATGTATGAAAGTAATAGTTATAAATTTAAAATTGCATTCTTTGTTATACGGTACATACCTATTCAAGGTAGATACACAATATGATGCAGTAATTTGTATGTATCCCATTTATATGACTGCTTCAAACTTATTATTGTCTATATAAACGTTACTTGATCTGAAGCCGGCTTCACTCAAGTCGCTTACTTGATTTGAAATGTAAATAATGATTTGAAATTTAATAGCTAAATGTCATTTTTGGGCTTTTAAGCTAACATAGCGAAAACGCAGCTTGAGTTTCGAGCTGATTTCACGTCAACCCGCAATGTAGACGAGGCATAGAAATTAAGCAATTTATAAAAAAAATGCCTATTACCGACAAGCGTGTATGTATGTATGTATATTCATAAGAAATATTTGTTTTAAATTTTTAAAACAAAATTGAAATAAAAATAAAAAATTCATAGTTTATATTACAATAAATCTAATGACAATAAATTAATAATTACAAACTTTAAGTTTTTTGTTAACATTATTTGTTTTTTTCAAATTATATACATACATATAATATGTAAATTATAATTTTTTTTATTTTAATAATCAAATTATTAAAATAAATCGCTTCGCTTTTATAATATGAATATGTACACCTATTTTGCCATCTTGTTCTGGAATAAGTTACAGAATAAAACTCCCTAATAAGAGTTGTGTAGACAAAAAAGAAACAATATATTGTAAACAAATGAGTGTTTCAAAAACATTGAATTGAAATAAAATTAAATTAAGTTAGAAAAATTTTGTTATTTTTATATTGATAACAAAATTTTTTTTCATATTTTATTTTTCATTTCATAAAAGTTATGTAAAAACATTCGAATGTATGAAAGTAATAGTTATAAATTTAAAATTGCATTCTTTGTTATACGGTACATACCTATTCAAGGTAGATACACAATATGATGCAGTAATTTGTATGTATCCCATTTATATGACTGCTTCAAACTTATTATTGTCTATATAAACGTTACTTGATCTGAAGCCGGCTTCACTCAAGTCGCTTACTTGATTTGAAATGTAAATAATGATTTGAAATTTAATAGCTAAATGTCATTTTTGGGCTTTTAAGCTAACATAGCGAAAACGCAGCTTGAGTTTCGAGCTGATTTCACGTCAACCCGCAATGTAGACGAGGCATAGAAATTAAGCAATTTATAAAAAAAATGCCTATTACCGACAAGCGTGTATGTATGTATGTATATTCATAAGAAATATTTGTTTTAAATTTTTAAAACAAAATTGAAATAAAAATAAAAAATTCATAGTTTATATTACAATAAATCTAATGACAATTAATAATTACAAACTTTAAGTTTTTTGTTAACATTATTTGTTTTTTTCAAATTATATACATACATATAATATGTAAATTATAATTTTTTTTATTTTAATAATCAAATTATTAAAATAAATCGCTTCGCTTTTATAATATGAATATGTACACCTATTTTGCCATCTTGTTCTGGAATAAGTTACAGAATAAAACTCCCGCTTTTAAAATTCCTAATATTTTTTCCTATACTTTATATACGAAAATAATGTCTTTACATCTAACAAGTCCCAATACTTAATTTTTACGAAATATTACGAATTTTTGGCTTCGTTCCTCTTTTCTTTTTTAAATGCTACTGATCGTGTCATAACTGATGGCAACAAATTTTGCATATCGAGTTTTCGGTGGGAATGCACTTCTCCATAGTAGAGAAGTGTAAATAAACTATTTTTAGCAACCTGACGGTCTGTCGGTCTGTGTGTGCACGCGTATATCTCAAGTTCGGCTGAACCGATTTTGATGAAATTTTATATGTAAGTTTATTTCCACCATGGCACGGATTGATCAACTTTTGGGATATATCAGGCCTCGGGAACTGCATTTTTTACATTTGTGAACATTTTGAAGAAAGTATCCAACCAATTTACTTAAAATTTCATACATAAGCTCAGCCGAACCGTCCCCGAAACCTCCTAACTTTTGGAAGAAATCAGGTGTCAGCAACTGGACGTTTACTACGGACCAAATATACATTTTTGCGTATAGAAAGAGAAATAATCAACCGATTTCATTGAAATTTAACATTTAAATTTTTCGTATTAAGAAAATGAACATATAAAATTTTTGGAAAGATCAGGGCTTGAAAACTGATCTGCGGGCCGTTTTTACATTTTTCCCCACATCTACGAAACGAATTGATGGAATTTCTTGAAACTTGATATTTGAGTTCTGGTTATCGAAACTAGCTGGCGAGCATTTCAGTGAATTCGAGTAGCACAAAGCGAAACTCTAGTATGAGCTAAATTTACATTTTTCTAGGTATGTTAATTATAAGCTGACGAATGTCCTAAAAATTGGAAAGAAGTATTTAACAGACATTTTTATAATATGCTGTAACACTTTCACTTAACTAGACAATACACATCGTGGTCGGTTATGTGCTGATCACGTCAGATTTTTTTTTGTTTATTTTGTCTTTTTCACTTTTGCTAATTATTTCTGTGATTTATTCGGTTTTGACACTTGATTAGCTTCCCAAGTATCAGTTGTTCGTACTTCTTTTGTAAACATTTAAAAATTTTTCTTGTTTTATAATAAACTGGTTCTACGGCAACATTTATTTTGGTTCTTCATGCTGGCATGAAGAATATTTAATCGTTTATGTAATGGAATATATATTTGTTTTTATGTTTGATGTAATATTTATATGCATGTTTCTTGTAATGATAAAACTTGGTATCACAATTATTCACGGTATTGTAAAAATAGTGAATTGTCTCCATTAGTTTGCGCTTGAAGTGTAAGATTAATTTACTTCGAGTTTTAGAGAACTTTAAGAATTTTTCGAAATTAGAGGATTTTTTTTGCTGAAGAGTTGTTATATATAGTTTACAAAATCCGACGAACAAAAAACAGTGAATAAGGTGTAGAGAGTAAAGATTAGTCATACATTATACTTTGATATTATTGATTACGGAGCGATCATGAACGAACTTAATTTTACGGAACGATAAAAATATTGACAGATGGTACACAAAAAATCACTTGATATGATATTTGATGCACAAAAATGACATGCAAATTTCAAAATTTTTCTTTATAATGTAATTTCAGTTTAAAAATCGAAGACTTTAACGTTTTGAAAAGCTAAGGTTAGTATTAACTGCATATATATGTGTAATATAACTCACAGGAACTCCAAATAGATACATACATAAGTTTATTAATTTTTTTATGAATAATTTAAGATTTTGTAGTAAAATATGTCCGACATATCAACGTGGTATAAGAACATGCCAAGGTTTACAAAGTATTGGCTAACTGGGACGGTCGCTTGTAGCCTTTTTGCGAGATTTGGTTTATTGCCTGCAAGTTATCTGATTTTGGAATCATCTCTTGTTTGTCAAAGTAATCTCTTTTGCTTTTTTATATTGATTATCTTATCTAAATTAACTAAATTTTTAGAATTACAGCTTTGGCGTTTAGTAACCGCACTATTTTTTTATCCACTGTCACCAGCAACAGGTTTTCATTTCATGTTGAACTGTTACTTTCTTTATAATTATTCCGTAAGACTAGAAAGCGATCACTTTAAAAGTATTCCATCAGATTATTTGTTTTTACTTCTATTTAACTGGGTGTGCTGCGCTTTAAGTGGCCTTTTTTTTCATTGTAAGTTTTTTTTATTTAATAAAAATCAAATAACGTGATCATTTTAGTGTACATACTCATGGATCCAATGGTTTTATCGGTGCTTTATGTTTGGTGTCAGTTAAATAAAGATGTTATTGTGCAATTCTGGTTTGGAACCAAATTTAAGGCAATGTATCTTCCTTGGGTACTTCTTATGGTAAATCTTATATTGTCCGGTGGAGGATTCGACTCATTTCTAGGCATTATGATTGGACATATTTACTATTTTCTAAAATTTAAATATCCACAAGATTTAGGAGGTCAGAGATGGTTAGAAACACCATCCATATTTAAAAAGTATTTCCCAGATATTACCGGTGGTGTATTTAGTTTCGGTTCTTCTCCAATAAATGTTCGAACAACACAGGTATCTGGAACCTCAACAACGCGTTCGAATTTAACATTCAGAAATGTTTGGGGAAGAGGCGGAAATGTTTTAGGAAGAGATTAATATTTTTTTTTATGTTAGTTCTTATATTTGTTGTATGAATATCTAAAATATATGCCAATTCGATTTAATTATAAGATTTATGTTAAATAAATTATCTTAAAATTTAACACGTGTTGCATAGTTTAAATTAAATTGAATATTTAAAAAAAATTGGCTAACTTTATTGTAAATAAGAAATACTTATTATTACATAAGGTTTAGTTTTTATATTACATTTTACTTTTAAAAACTAAGTACTTAAAAACCTAATTTAATGGCTAGCAATATATATTATTACAACTCATACGTTACATGTCAGTTTCCATCGTGTAATTGTTTAATTCTGTCGTTGAATATTTCAAATTAGGGGGAATTTTATGTTCATCCTCTTTCATTTCGTATTTCTCATTACTTGTTGAAACAGAATTCGTAATAGGAACTAAGCTTTTTACATTGAGTGGTGGTTGCCATATGACTAATGCTTGACATGGTCTTTCGTAACGTTCTAATAAAGCTTTCGGAATAATAGTCTCACTATTTTTAATATTCTTCAATTCCTCACAAATTGTAATATGCTTAGCATTTCGAAGTTTTTTTTCTAAATCCTTGGAAGAATAAAAAGGACATTTTGGTTCGATATCCGATTCCATTACATTTTCAACATGGTTATCAGATTGGCGGCGCTCGGTTGAGACATTTGAATTATGTGCAATAAAGTTGTTTGATATGTGAAGACTGTTTAAAGTTGCTGCCATTTTTTCTTCAGTAATATGCTGTTTTGAAGGGCTGAAATATGAATTTTATTTGACATGTATGTACGTCAGAACTTTTAACAAAAGAATTTACTATATTTGCTCCATGTTAGACTTTCTCTTTTGATTAAGACTTTTGTAATCCAAGTTTGCTGTGAAGCGCATTACACCTGTGTATGTTGAATTCGACCAAGGCATTTGCTCTGAGGTCCATGGAACATTATTTGATGACGGCATATGTGCCGAAAAATTGTCAGATCTAAAAACAAAATTAATTTTAGCGTTCTCAATTCTACTTAATATCATAACAAAAATGATAATAATTAACATGAAAATTAAAATGAAATAAAGATTGTATTTTGACTTTAAAATCTTACAAAATATTAGTTTGTAATTTGTATATATATAAATCCCTAACAAATATTATAACTATTACAGACCCTACATCCATGCTTTTCCTTTGGTAAAATTGGTAATGTTTTTAGTTAATTATTTTTTGACAAATATCTTAATACTTTTTCAATTTCACCTAAATTTACTTCTTTAGTATTTCAGTTTAATTTTGACATTTCTAATTAAATTTAGTTTTATTTACTAGTTTTGACAATCAATCTAACGCTGCATATTTTAAGAAAACGCGAAAATGGAGTTACTTCATTTATATACAAGTCGCGTGTTCCGTAAGCATTATTGTGTTATGTATCATTTTTCTATCACTTTATCAGTTTTTTATTATTTAGCTCTTTTTACAACTTTCAATTCGATATTCCCAAGTTTTTAATTGTATACATACGTTCTCATTTTCTCCTATTAAAACATAAATTTTTTAACGAGGTATTATACAACAACAAAAGATAAATATTTTCGATAAAAGTGTTGAAGCTCTCATTTGAGAACACAATGAGCTAAATAGTTGAAATTTGACGCACAAGCTTAATTTTATTTGATTGAAAATGAAAAAATTGGCCCAGTTGAGCTGGCACACCTATATCAAATCCCAAAAGGGCTTTGAGAAAATTCGCCAAATATGGCCATGCGGCATATCACTTAAAAGTTTATCGTAATCTCTACAACTTTTGTTCAATTACTCTTTTAAACATCGGTCCTCTAAGATCTCAGGTCCTAAGAAAGAATTGAGAAAAAAATAGGCTAAAAATTAAATAAGCAAAATTTTTTAAAAAAATACAATATTCAATAAACAAAAATAAACTAAATAAAAATCTTGTAACTTGTTTTAAAGAATTAAATAACTTATTTTAAAGAATTGAGATTTTGGTATGTGTTTGAAATAAATATATATTACGAAAAAATTCTTGCTTCTTGAAAACTGATTTTATAACAATATATATTTGCCTAGCTTCTTCTCAACGAGTGAAAATAAGAGATATGCAGGAGATAAAAATTGCAATCAGTTTGTAAAAAATTTCAAACTTTTTGATTGCTTAATTGCATGCGATCATACAGCTGTGCGTGTGCGCGCTTGAACATAAACCTACGGAATACAAATAAGCAATCAACAGTTGCAAAACTAAAAATTTCATGTCTGTCTGATTCCTCTATGCTAAAAAGTTTTGAATTTCTATATTTTCTCTTTTTTTATTTTTTTTCAATACTTAGTTCCTTAAGAACCTTCAACAATTTTTTTTATGTCATTGTGTCGCAAACCAGAACATTTTAACTCGCATTGGCCAAAGACTTTACAGCAAAAAAAAATTAATACTATTTCCACAGTTTATATATTGCTGATTCTTTATTTGAGGACTATTTTTTGACAGCCTTAGCTGAAAAAGATTTTTTGTTTGCCTTAGCTGGAAAAGATTGGGTTAAATTCTTATTATTACATTGCTACTTTAGAATTTTTTTCGCAGTTTAGTTGACTGGGATTTGGTTAATGGTAGAAAAAAGAAAGTCTAGTTTCTAATAGAGTTTAACTGTTTTAGCAAATTGACTAACATTAGCGCATGTGAAATTTGTGTTATATTTTTATTTCGTACATCCGCCATTTTAAAATATATTTCATAGAGTTAATGTTATATTGTTATCTCTATCAAACTTAAGAAAAAGTATTGAAAAGAAAAAAAACGTACCTTTTATATACCACAAGTTCAGTTTTCCTCGGTTTTTTGAAGTATTGTAAGCGTAACGCCAAGTTGAGTTTCTTCTTTAAGGTGCGGTTTTTTTTTCTCAACTAAGAAGTAAAGTTATTTTCTTCCGTAGGCGTTTTTCACATTAATTAAAAAAAAAGTAATAGAAAAAACCCGAAAATTAGTGGAACTTTTTTTTTTATTATAATTTCAGGGGAGCTTTCCATAATAAATTGAGAAAAAGGTGAACACGCCACTTGGTTTAAATTCTTGTACTGTAAAGGAATATTAAAATAAAGAAAATGTCGGAGCGTGAAAATAATGTATATAAAGCTAAGTTAGCTGAACAAGCTGAACGCTACGATGGTACGTATTACTTTTTTTTTGACTAAATTTCCATATAAAAATTTTTGAATAACAATTTTTAGAATAAAATATGTACTTGCATGATGTATGAGTCATGTCGATGGCCGGCAAAATTTTTTTTTAAATTATATACATACATATGTAGGTTCAATGAAGTTTGAAAATAATTTAAACTTATATTAAAAATTTCGGCTTTGAGTAGGAAAAAAAATTGATCTTGTAGATGACTAGATTATACTACGCAAATCTAGGTCTTAGATGTGAGAATTACAAATTCGTATTTGTTGCTAGGTCATTTATATTTTTATAATATTAATAAAATTCATAAGGAAATATAAAAATATTTTCAAAAAATTGTGTGTTAATAGTTTTCTATGAATATAAAGTAATTCAGCGAGAAAAAAAAATCGATTTCGTGATCAATAAGTTCTCGATGTGGAAAAGCCATTTTCAGACTTAAGCACATTTATTAAGTCAGTGTCAACTACCATTCAAATATCGCGCGCTATTTTTTTTTTTTTTTTTTTACATATAAAAGCTCTTACAAAAAAATTTTATTTAAGGCAAAAAAACCGTAACTTACTATTAGTAAGATTTTTTAACTTACATATATACATATATATATATATATGTATATATAAATAAAAGAAACGTCTGAAATGCATCATCATCCATTTTTACTACCACCACACTCATAATCACGTTAAATTTATTTGACTTACAGTATCAGCAAATTTTTAATGAATGAGACAGACGCAAAAAAATAAAACACAGAACAAGGTTGCCGTTTAAAAAAAAAAACTAAAAGAATAACGTATTTTTTTTATACAAAAATTACTCGTCTATATTTCGACGATTAATGCGTAATTATTATTATAATGATTATATTATATGTAGGTAATTTTGAAAATTATTTTTCAACTTTTAATTAATTTCAGGTAAAAATATAATATTATATTTATTGCATATATATAAGTCCGTATGTGTTCGCACATGTATATTCATACAAATTCAGTAGAAAAACAAGCAGTCTAAGTTCTATAAATTTTAATAGGATATGTACATATGTATATAATTATGTTCATTGTATAAGAAAATTTTTTAAATAAATTAAATTTCGTAGAAAAATATTAGTTTGATATTACTAGAGAAAAAATTCTCTGAACTTTGTTGAATCTTATTGATTTGTGAATAGAACTTCAAGTCAAGTTTTTGTATTGAAACTGAGCGCAGAATAGAATACTCACATAACTTAAGTTTTACCTAATTGTAGTTTTTGCACAAATGAACATATCTCAAACGAACATATGTATCTATACATATATCTATATATAGTGCTATTGTGCTATTTAGTGCTATATATGTATTTGAAATGTCTATTTTGCACGCTCTATGCCTACTAAAATGCACATCTAACGAAAATTTTTCTTAATCAGTAATACATTGCTTGAACATTTCAAAAATTTCAGCTGGTACATTTCAAATAAAGTTTAAGTAAACCAGAAGGGCACTTGAACTCTTACGAGAATTCAAAAAATAATTTTGGTTAAAATATTTATTTAATTTAAGTAATGAATTATTAGATTTAAGTTTTTCCAAAATTTTTTTATCACAAAATATTATTACAAAATTTGTTAGCTTTTCGGAAAAAATTTTTCAGACTAGAGTGTTCAAAAAAAAGTTGAATAAAAATAGTCATGAAGCATAAAGTCGTTGAATGTAAATTTTACGTCAGTAGCACGTGAAAACGATGGATTCTAGTTTGAATCCCAAAAATATCTGAGTCTGAGTTTATTGTCTATTTCTTATTTCACCATCACCCATGTTCCAAAACTCCAATTCTTTAGTATATCGTCGGTTACATACATTTTTTCATAAATATACTTTCAAATAAAATTTGAAAAACTTTAAATGCCTTAATAAAATATCTTAATTGAAAATTATCATTACAGAAAATAATTTTATTTCTTGTTATGACCGCACTCAAATTGTGTCCGTATTTGGCAATATCAATTGTAAGTTAATTGCCAAATTAGATAAATTTTAAATTCGGTCTATTTTCACGTTGAAAACCTATCAATAAAGTTTTTAATGTTATTTTCAACTAAAATAGATCTGTATGTTATTCAAAACCTGAAAACATTGTGCTTTTTCCCAAATTTAATAAAATAGCAAAAAAAATTTTTTCTGTTTAATTGAATATTTTTTGAATTATTTTGAAGATTAGGTGCGTTTAAAAACAATAAACACTGTATTCTATATGAATCTTTGCGTGTATAATATCTAAGTGCTTAATGTATTACTATGTAATGTATTACATTTTAATTCTCTGAATTCAAAATTTTTTTTTGTTTTATATCCGTACGAACGTAAATTTCTAAAAGATGTAGACATAAGTGTATGTTTTTGATCATCGTCGAATTCTGGGCAATTCGACCACGTCTGTACGGCTGTTCATCCCTCCCAGCAATAATTCAAAAACTAATTGAGCTAAGCTCACCAAATTTTCTCAAATGATTTATAGTAGTAAATGTCGGAATTCAATTTAAATTGGACATGATCGAGGCACTGTTCGGGTAGCTGCCATACAATTTCAAAATTTCTTTGGCTATGCATATTTCAGAAACTATAGAAGGTATGGTATTGAAACTTTGGAGAAACTAATGTAATATTAGAGCAATTGTGTTTAATAAAAGTTGTTGAAATTGCTTGGGTTCTTCTGGTACTTCAAAAGTTATTTGGCTATATTTTAAACTGTTCAACCTACTGTTCTGTAAAAACAAATATGGTACAATAGCAAACAACTTGAATATGGTAAAATAGAAATTATATTAGTTAAAATTTGTTGAGATCTTATGAAGACTTGTGATCAGCTTCGAAAGTTATTTGGCCATATCTCAAAAATTATTCAGTATATAGTTTCTGCACAAACAAATGTATTTTTAGGACGGATATGTTTGATAAAAGCCGATAAAATTCAGTAAAATACTTAGATTGTGTGGGTTTGTATGGTAACTGCCATATATATATAAAATAGTGTTAGACATTTAAAAAGCAACAGGTTGTACGAAGCTGTACGTCAATTATCTTTGATATATATATTCTCAATTCAATCTATATCATTTATATGGTCAATTATATATATTCTCGTTTAACCTTTAACTAACTTTATTTAATTTATTTTTGTATACATATTATATGTATACAAGTTGACAAGAGGTTTTTCATTTTACATATTATTTACAAAAATGTAAAACCGGCCCAAAAACCGATTTCAATGAAATCAGTTGATTATTTCTCTTCAAATATACAAAAATGTATATTTGGCCCGTAGTAAACGTCTAGTTATTGATGCCGGATTTCTTTCAAAAGTTAGCAATTTTCGCGGGCGGTCGAGCAAAGCTCATATATGAAATTTCAAATAAATCGGTTGAATATTTTCTTCAAAATGGTGAAAAATGTAAAATCGGCCCGCAAATCAGTTTTCGAACCCTGATCTCTGCAAAAAATTTATATGTTCATTGTTTTAATACGAGGAATTCATATATTAAATTTCAATGAAATCGGTTGATTATTTCTCTTTATATACACAAAAATGTATATTTGGCCCGTAGTAAACGTCTAGTTACCGATGCCTGATCTTTCCAAAAAATTTACATGGTCATTGTTTTAACACGAGGAATTCAAATATTAAATTTCAATGAAATCGGTTGATTATTTCTCTTTATATACACAAAAATGTATATTTGGCCTGTAGTAAACGTCCAGTTATTGATGCCGGATTTCTTCCAAAAGTTAGCAATTTTCGCGGGCGGTCGAGCAAAGCTTGTATATGAAATTTCAAGTAAATCGGTTGAATATTTTCTTCAAAATGGACAAAAATGTAAAACAGGCCCGCTAAACATTTTGTTTTGATTTTGATTAGTTTGTTTGAAAATTTCAATTTAAAGTTCCGTGCAAATGTTAATTTTTGCCAAACGTTACCACATCATTAAAAACATTGCATTTTTATGCTGCATTTTAGGAAAAAATATTAATAACTTTATTTTTTTAATTTTTTTTTTTAAAGTCAAAGTTTCTCGAAAATTTGTGTTATTTTTTATCTTCGATGCACGATAATTAGATTTAAAAGTTAACCCTAAAAACATTTTCCTCATATCTGTCATAGTTTTGCCAGTGTTTTAAAAACATGCGAAAAATGCATATTTCATACATTTCATACAACTATAAAACCATACATAAAAATAAATTTAAACTAGGTATATACTCTTCAAATTTTAGAAGCAAATTAGCAATTATTTTCTCTTAGAAGCAAATTCACTGCTAAAAATTAATAAAAATCGAAATTTATTTTGTAAAAATCAGTTTTTTCAAGGTCTCTTGATACGAGGGTCACTATTTATATTTCGGGTCCTGGCAATACTAGTGCTGCCAGGTGCAATCTGACACTTCCATTGGAAAGTTTGACATTTTTTAGGACAACTTCACTCAGAACGTTTTGTCATTCGAGCGCGAATTGTTTTGTTTATAGTGACTTGAAAAATTCATCTCGGTCAAAAAATGGAATTGTCCCGTGAAAATTTTCGTGCGATGATTTTTTACGATTTTCGGCGCGGATTATCGAGACAAGAGTGTCTCGATCAACTTGTTTCGACTTTTGGTGATGAAGCACCATCAAAAACCACTGTAAATCGCTGGTACCAAGAGTTTGGTTTCGGACGCCGTTCGCTCCAGGATGAATTTCGTGAAGGTCGGCCAATTTCGGTCGTTTTGCCGGAAACCATCGATGCTGTGCGCGAAATGATAATGATGGACCGGCATGTGACATACTGTGAGATTGAGGCATCCTTGGGCATTAGTTCCACCAGCGTACATAAGATATTGCATGAACATCTTGCCGTGAAAAAGGTGTGTTGTCGATGGATCCCAAAAAATTTGACGATTGCACAAAAGAAGGCTCGTGTCGATTGGAGCAAATTGACGTAGGACGGTCAATTCTGAATGGTACACCACCATCTGTTTGCCGAAAGTTTTCGAAGAAATAAGGAAAACAAACAAGCGCCGGCGAATCATTCTTCATCATGACAATGCAAGCTCTCACAAATCAGCTGAAACAATGGACTATTTGAGCACTCAAAATGTCGAATTGATGGGTCATCCGCCGTACAGTCCTGATTTAGCACCCAATGACTTCTTCTTATTCCCTCACATCAAAAAAAAAATGCGTGGACAACGATTTTCAACACCTGAAGAAGCAGTCGATGCGTTCAAAAACCATGTTTTGGAGGTGTCTCAATCGGAGTGGAAAAAGTGCTACGAAAATTGGTTTCAGCGCATGCAAAAGTGTATTGATCTTCATGGGGAATATTTTGAAAAACAATAAAACCATTTCCAATGATAAATGTTTGTTTTTTATTGCTAGACCCGAAATATAAATAGTGACCTACGTACCTGGACGAACGTATGTTCGAAGGGTATACTAAATAGTATCCAGGTACCGCTTGTAACGCTAAGAAATAATGCTCTTAGATATAAACTCAAGTGTACGTTTTCGATCATCGTTGAATTCTGAGTTGATTTAGCTTTGTCTGCCCGTCCGTCCGTCCGTCCGTCCGTCCCAGCGATAACTCAAAAACTAATAGAATTAAGTTCACCAAATTTTCACAAATGATTTATTGTAGTAAGTGCCAGATCCCTATTCAAATTGAACATGATCGGGGTACTGGTTCTGGTTCCTGCCGTGCAACTTCAAAAGTTATTTGGCTATATCTCAGAAACTATAAAAGCTATAGTATTGATATTTCACACAAGCGAATAAATTAGTAGGGCCGATGTGTTTGATAAAATTCGTTAAAATTGCTTGGCTCTTTTTAGTAGCTGCCATACAACTACAATAGTAGTTTGGCGCACACAATATTTTGAAAAACACAGTACTGAAATTGTGCATATGGTAATACGGCAACTTAAAGTCATAGTCTGTCCCATAGTCAGTTATGCCATCTTTATTCGAACATAGGATAACGAATTCGTAGGGGTATCACAGAGTTGACAAGGTTAACTCTATTTTTTCTTCTTTGAATCCTAAATTCATAGCACAAATTCGCAAGCAATGCTCAAGATTCATTATTTGGTGTAGAAACGTAACATGACTTAGCCTCACATTATTAACTTCCGCTCAAATTAAGAGAATCTGGTTACCAGCAAAAAAAAGCAATTTGGAAAGAAGGCAATTGCTTTGGTATATTTTTTAATTCAGAAGTGGTGCCTAAATAATATGTATATGTATAATCCATTTTGTTTTTCAAATAAAAAAAAATGTGTATTCTTTAGAAATTAATTTTGTATCCTCTGTAATCGCGTAATTTCCAGCTCTTCAATATCAAAACTAAACTCGCTTTATGAATATGTTAATAATTTGTTTAAAAAATTTTTTATTACTTTTTTAACAAATAAAAGCACCCCATAAAAAAAAAAAATATTAAATATTTTTATTCATGAGCTTAAATTGCATATTTTTTGTTGCTAAGGTAAAAATTTTCTTAAATTTTATTTCATTTTACAACGTTCCATGTATATATACATATACATGTATACGTATTTTTTTTCATTAAAGCGCAAAATAAAATAGACAAATATTTTGTAAATTAAAAAAAACATTTATTTCGATTTTATTAGTTACATTACCTTCTCAGATGTCTTTTAAAATGATTTAAATAACTTTCGTCACATTTATTTACCAATTATTAATCCCATATTTCGGTACATCGTGATTTCCAAAATGCAATATAAAAAGTTTTAATACAGTTTAAATACTGTCTAAATACAATTTTACAACAACGTAAAGCTACATTTTGGAATATCACTGTGACGATATAAATAACATTACACAACATACATATGTACATATTATATTTTGTTTCTTTTTTTTTTTTTTAAATTTTAAGCTCACCGCTTAGAGAGATCTACTCTTATTTTTTATAATTTTAAAAAAAATGTATAGAGTTTATGCAAAGAAAAAGAACTTGTCACTTTTCTTTTATGTTTTAAGTAATTTACATCTAAAAATACCTATAAATATTTTTATATAAATAAATTTTGGAGTTTTATTTTGATGTTTCCAAAAAAAAAAAAACTGACCAAAAAGGAAGTTTGCATTCAAAATAAATTTTATTAAACATATATTTTCTAAAATTTATAGAAAATAAATCGATACAGGTCTTCCTCATTGCCATTTAAAAGGGTATTGTGTTAAATTATGAAAGAAAAATCTAAATAAATTTTATATTGAAAAATTTTCATAGAGTAAACTCACCAAATTCTAACATCTTTTGCTTTCATTAGAAATTTTCCCTGAAAAATCATTATACATATTGAAAAAAAAATTGAGTATTACTCGTATAAATAATCAGTGCTAACTTAGAATTAATACAAAATATCTTCGAAAAGTCAAAGCTTTGAAATTTGCAAAAATAGGATGTTTCATAAAAAAAAGTACGCTCCAAAACCCCAGTATGTCTAAAGCATTGTTTCGAAAGCTTTGTTTCTAAACATGTTTAAATTTTGTTTTTTATATGCAACAAAAATATTTTAAGTTTGAGAAAAATCATATAAAAATGAAATATGAAATTCTATTAATTGTTCGTTTCTCTTATAATATACCAAAATAAAAATAAAAAATATTAAGCAAACTGAAAGGACCTACTTCTACAATAATTTTTTTCAAACTCAAATATAATTTCAATGGAAATTAAATGAAGGAAGAACATGCGAATTATATCGAAGTTGACCTGATTGAACAGTTAGGAAATTTTTGTATTTACAATTTTTGAAATGAGTACCCATGTTAAAAAAAATAATTATGTATAATAAAAAAACTAGTAAGATGATTTTCTGTAAGGCTTAGAAATTCAATTTTTATAATTTTTTGTACAGTCTCAGTTTTTTTGCTATACGCTTTGCGTATTCGATACATTTTAGAATAGTGTACAATGTCAATAGCTTTTAATATACATTTAAGAATATACTTTGTAAATTTTTCCATTCACTACGTTTCGGAAGTGAAGGATACTTACCGAGTGTAACTGCGGCGTGTAAAAGTGGAACGCTAGATATTCTGTATGAACCGAATGTTCCAAGCATTTTAAGATTTGAAAACTCACATCGTTATTTTGGTTAAATTTCTTCTCCTAAAATAATTGCAGAATAATCTTTAATCGGTTCTGAAACTTATCTTTTGTGGGAAATATTAATAAAGAAAGATTGACTTGTGCGAAAAAGTTGTTGGAATTAACTGATTTTTTTTCGGTTTGAGAGGTCCTTCTAGATGAAGTATCATATGAAGAAATTATTTATATTAATACTTCATATTTGCAGATCCTTTCTTTTTCATTTTACTATGTTGCACTTAGGTAAATCTAAGGTTTTTAAGGTTCTAGTTAAAATTACGTTTTCTTAAATTATATTTTATAAAATTATGCTAATCAACCACTAAAAAAAATGATTTGTAAAACTATAAAGTATAACTTTCTTCTGATGTGATGCACGCGTCCAATACTTCACTAAAATTTTTTTTTAATCTGAGTATTAGAAGTGGTCAATCTCCTCAAAATTCACATTAAAGTTCATTTGAATTATAAGGCAACTGATGATAGACAATCAAAATTTATTATAAGTTATTAAATATTTCAATTCAATTATCGTTCCCTATATATCATTCAAATTTTAGAAATGGTGGATGCAATGAAAAAAGTCGCGTCAATGGATGTTGAATTAACGGTTGAGGAACGTAATCTGTTATCGGTTGCGTACAAAAATGTTATTGGAGCCAGGCGGGCGTCATGGCGCATTATTACTTCAATTGAACAAAAAGAAGAAAATAAAGGAGCTGAAGAAAAACTAGAGATGATTAAAAACTATCGCGGTCAAGTTGAGAAAGAATTACGTGACATATGTTCAGATATATTAAGTGTGTTGGAAAAACATTTGATTCCATGTGCAACATCTGGTGAAAGTAAAGTATTCTATTACAAAATGAAAGGCGATTATCATCGCTATTTGGCCGAATTCGCTACTGGAACAGATCGGAAAGATGCAGCTGAACATTCTTTAGTCGCTTATAAAGCAGCTAGTGATATTGCTATGACTGATCTTCCACCAACGCATCCAATTCGGTTGGGACTAGCTTTGAATTTTTCTGTAAGAATAGTATTTCATCTTGACGAAAATTTTTTAATAACTTATATGTTGCATTTTTTTTTTTAGGTTTTCTATTATGAAATATTAAACTCTCCTGACCGTGCCTGCCGATTAGCTAAAGCTGCATTTGATGACGCGATTGCCGAACTTGATACACTTAGTGAAGAAAGTTATAAAGATTCAACTCTAATTATGCAGTTATTACGAGATAATTTAACACTGTGGACATCCGACATGCAAGCAGACGGTAAGTAATAAAAATTTGTACATTCACTTCGTTTATATGGCGGATCAAGTACTTCGCTTGAAATTTTAATCTACGTACCTATATACTGTACAGATTAAAATAATATTACTTGAAATCGACTTGAGTTTGACATTAGCTAACCGGTATTATATATTAATTTTTCAATCTGCGTATATGCAGTCGATTTTTAAGTCAAGCTAATAACTTTATCAGTTCGACTTGACTTGAAAATTTCAACACAAGTAACGTTTCTTTGAACTCGAAATCGGTCTGAAGTCGGCTTCAAGCTGCATATAAACGCAATAGTAGACAAAAATATTTGTTTTGAGTAACTTTAGACTTCAAATATTTTAAAAAAATAATCATAAAAACCTAAACCGATATAAATCCATATTCTTGATTTTCGATTTTTGATGAAACGATTTTCCATATTTTTGCTCAAGTTAATTTGGGTTAATTTTAATTTTTTTAATTTTAGGTAAAAATTTTAGTTACTGTGTTGTTTATCTGGTGACATTTTCAATTTTCATTTAAGATAGTAGGCTAATATGTTTCCTTAGAAACCGATTGTGAATTAAAATGTTTCTTAAGAAATATGGTTGAACATTATTGTTTTGAAAATCGATAAGTCAATACAACGTTTTGAATACTTAATTAGCTTTCCATAAATTTCCGTTTCAAACTGTCAGGTGTACATGATTTCATTTTGATATAGTTGTTTTGTTATTTTGCTTCAGTCGGCTTAATATAAAAAGTTTAAATAACTTATAGAATCTCAGAACTAACTTATTTTGCCTAAGAAAAGTAAACGCGTTTACGAAAATTTTTTAAATTCAAGTTTTTTAATTTTGATTTGTGTTTTTATTACCAAAAATTTTATTTTTTTTAATTTAAAAACAATAATTAACTGTTAGTTTAACGAAATATTTTTTTTTATTTTTAATTTTCCTCACTTTTATCCGAACATATTTGCCAATTTTGTTATATAAAATGTGACAATAGGCGAAGGAGAGCAAAAAGAACAAATCCAGGATGTTGAAGATCAGGATGTGTCGTAATTTAGTCAAGTGTGAATATAAACAGATTAAACAAAAAATAAAAAAAAAACATTAACTTTAACATTTAAAAATTATGCAGTAAAAAAATTAAAAAACATCATTAAGAAGAATAAGGAATATTAAAAAGTACTTTAATTTTAAGATATGTAATAATTAAATTAAAAGTAATAATTAAAAAAAAAACAAATACATGAGGATATAAATTATAAGTGTATTGTTTCGTCTTTACATTATAAAGTTTACATATATTTACGCAAAAATAAATAAAAATCAACCTATCAATCAAAAATTAAGATCTATGCAAATTCCCTTATAATTTAAAGAAAAAACTGAAAATGAAAAAATACTGTTTAATTATGAATTTATACTTTTTTATTTAACATTAATTTCTGTTTAAATTTGTGTAACAAATAATGATTAATAATTTTTAATTTTTAAAGAGAGAAGCGCAAAGTAATATTTTGCATAAATAGAAAAAGAAACATGTTTTTTTAAAATATATAATTGACTTTTTTTTTACGCTTTTTTAGATTCCTTTTCATACATATGTATATACAAAAATAAATATAAATTTATATACATATATGTGTATATATTTATATATTGCATCTAAATACATTATGTATGTATTTATTTAATAAAACATATATATATATATATATATATATATATATATATATATATGTATAAATTTATTTATATATATATATATATATGTTTCGTGTATATATATTACATATATATATTCATATATATTTATGTGTTACATCTATACGCATTCTATATGTATTCTATTTAATAAATAGATATGTATTCATTATACAAATAACTTTTTTTTATTTTATGTGGTTTCTTCAACTTCCCATTTTCGATATATTGTTCTTTAAGAGAAGACAATGAATTTAAATCTCAAGAGATTTTAATATTGATCAAACTAAAACAAAAAAAAATAGAATTAAAATTAATATATGTAATTAAAAGATAAAATAAACAGACAAAAAAAAAAATACTTAAAATATCTAACAATTTTATTTTTGATTTGTGTAGAACAAATAAAAACGTCATACTTTCAACTTAACTCATGTTTTTGATATTTTAATAAGAAATTCATAGCAAATAAAAAAATTAAAATGCTTCAAAACTTGGGCGGTATCTAATTTAATAGATAAGATATTTGTAAACACTATAATATATTTAAAATAAATTATTAATTTGAGTTTAAATACATCATATATTATGTAGAATTTAATAAGAATTTTCCAAAGTGAATTTTAATTTTTATTCGAGATTTTCTTTATTTTTATTTAAGTTGCTTTTTCAAAACTGAATTAGTGTAACGTAGGGAAATGAATTCAATCGTATAAAAAATATTGTATTAATTAAATAATGTTCACACTTTTTATTGACAAATAAGCGAGCAACCAAAAAAATTTTGTCAAGTTCACTAATTTTTCTCATACAATATATATTTATATATAAAGATATGTACTTTCGCAATTAAATAAAAACATCCTAAATACAAAATAACACAAAACTAAAAAAGGTATGTTTGTTTCTTGTTTTTTTTAATATTATATTTATTTTTTTTAATTTTACATTGTTTTCCTTTTTTTTATACATTTGGAGCAATTTATAAACGTTAAATTGTATCAAGAGAAGTAGGAATAACTTGTGGAGACCATAGAAAAATAATGGGGATTTACAAAACCTTGGATTGTTTATCATTAATTATTAAAGAAGCTTTTAATTTTAAATTTGTTTTTGATACGCATATTTATTGAATTTTTAAACGATAATATATTTGTAATAAATTCAAAATGACTGTCAAAAATCAGTGTTTGTGTACGCGAAACCGTAGCAATAATTAACCGTATACTGAATGCATTGTTGTTGGTTTCATTGATGTAGTAAGAACACAAAAATACAAGCGTTGACTTATAATATTGTTTCAAAAAAATAATAAAAATTCCTAATTTTTATGAACGTCATTGTATAACCAAAATAAAATAAATAATAAAATTCAAATATATTATACTTAGAGAATTAAGAAAATTTGAATAGTGCTTTTTAAGATTAAATATTTTAAAAAAATTAAAATTTAATTTAATTGAAGCTTAATAAAGATTGAAAACCATCCTGCACAAATTTGAAGAACCGCATTTAATTTAAAAAACCTGTTTTGTGCTATATACCAGTTGTAAAATAGTTATGACTTATAAGACAATAAAAACATTTAATTAAAAATTAGTAATAAATAAGATCAACAACAATGTTTCTATAAAATCTCAATTGTATTCAAAGTTGATTGCAGCTGTCAACAAATTTAACTGATAAACTGAATTTAACACTGATTTCAGATCTATTTACTTGTTATCATTCCACTGGATTGGAAGGTTGATGCTTCTTAATTTCGGATTTGATGGTTTGATGAATATTAGAATTAGAGCATAAGTTTCAGATAAATTGACGAATGTAGAAAAAATAAAATAAAGGCTTCAAAATAATTTTGGGTGTTTTTGAAATTAGTTATTAAAATTAGAAGTCTAAAATTTCTAAATGAAGTTTTCGAAATTGCAATTTTATCTTCAAGATATTTCCAGTATTCAAAGGACTAATGATACTAGTTTAATTTACACATAATTTTTAACTCTTAACATTTACTTATACATATTTTTACAGCCTTTAAATAAAATATTGAAAACCAAAACAAATCTTCGTTATGAATCAATGTAAAATAAAAGAAAAGTACCAGTCACCTAAAATTTAAAACAATAGAAAAATAAAAATATGCTTAAGCAATTTTTACTTAACAGTCGCAAAAACTTAGTGATTTGAAGGAATTCCTTAAATCGTAATTTTTTATATCAAATTTCTATTAAATGTATTTAACAGTAAAAATGAGCCTATAAGGAAAAAAGTATACAAAACATCAGATAATTTAGTAAAATATTGTGAAATACATATTGTTTAATTGGGAAAATTGCATGTCAAAAATACATACATACATATAAATTCTTCCAGATGCATAGTTAAAATTAAATTAATAAAAGTCATATTTTAATAACTAATATAAGAGAGCTTCGATTTTTTTTTTTAACTTTGATTATGGTTTTTGATTTGATTTTGTTTTTAACTAACAAAAAATTTCGATTCAAAAACTAGTAACTGCATAAATTGAGTGCACAATACGTAATGTATTTAATGAAATGATAAATAAAAAAAGGCTTTTTGTCAAACAGCATAAGTTCACAACAGAAAAAGAGAAGTGTTTTTGATAATACAGTCGTAACTTGCTACTAAGTTAGAATTTTGCGGAACTACTTTTGTAAGCTCGGATTTTAAAGCAATACAGCGCAATTTTGCAGTTTAAATTTTATTGCTCATTAAACTTTTTCAGAAAAGATTATAATTGGAACTTAGGCAGGAGCATATACATACATGTGTATTATTGTTCAAATTATGTGAGTCCTAAATTAGAAATCATGTGGTATAAACTGTATTATCAAAAACACGTAAGTTGAATAATTATATGAAAACAAAGTACATTTACACATGTTCAAAAAAGTAGAATTATTTTTCATATTAATTTATGTTATCTCTTTTGTAAACTTTTGGGAATTAAATATGTATAGCAAAATTGTTTTAATATGTTTATACGTTAATTTGATTATACTTATTGTAAAAAGAATTGTAATTTGCGGAAAATTTCTATTTGAAAGTAAAAATTGCATAGTTTATTTGATCAAATAATAAAAACACTATATAAATGTAGTTTTTTTTACTGAATAGAATTTATTTCCTGAATTTTTCCTGAAATTATTTTAAATCTAAAAAAAATTTTTTTTTTGTTTTGACGTTTACGGATCATCAAAATTCGAAGTCAATTACGGGTAAAAAGTTTACTACATTTTTACTGTCCGTAAAAGTTTTATACGTCAGATAGTTTGCAGACTGAAAACAAAATTTTGACGTTAAAGAATTTGCGGTTTACCACAAACGAATTTAAATTAGAATGATGTAAAATTATTTTGGTTGTGTGCATATGATTTTGACGAACTCTTATGCCATCTTTAGAATATTTGGTAAAAAGGAAAAAAAAGTGTACTAAAAATATAAACGTCAAAAGTACTAGCAGCAGCAAAGAAAATTTCATATATGTGTATACTCGTATAAAAGAAATGTACGATAACTCGATCTCATCACCGACGACGTTTAAATATGGAACTAAAACTCAGTTTTGAGAAAAGGTGGTTTGTGTCCAAATAATATTGATACGCAATTTTATAAAAATATGGAGAGTTTTTATATAATACGATTATCCTGAACCAATCAATAACATTAATTGTCATTTACTTTTTCGAAATGCCAAATTACTGGCTATAATGACAGGAGTTTGGAAACATTTTTTTAATATAAATACTTGACAATAAATAGCGCTGAGTGCTAGGTGTTATATGAGAAAAAAAATATGAGATTATATTATGAAAGTTTACTGGGATTACTTACGTTGACTATAATCTTGTTTGAATTCGGTGCGCGCTTTTTTTTTGAATCACATTCAGACTTAGATTGGATTTACATATTATACTTTTGAAAATTGTATTTCTAATTCATATAACGAAATAGATTAAATATATATCGACAAAATAAGCACGTTGATTATTCCTGGAAAGCTAATCCTACCGATGACTGTTATTTTGGGAAATATAGAATATTATATTGTTGTAGTTTGTTTAGTTGAGAGGACTAATGTAAAGAAAGTACCCTGTTATTTGTTTCAATTAAAAATTTAGAAATCCATTTTAATTTCTACTGTTTTCCGAGGTTTTTCTCTTAAAGAAATCATGCAAAAATTTCATTGTTGTTAGTAAGAAAATTTGTTTTGAAATCTTTAGTTTAGAATATAAATACTTTGGCGCTGATGTCAAATTTAAAAACTCTTTACTTAGTTGTATGAAAGTCTTTAGTTGCCAATATATGGCGCTGAGTGCAAGATGTCAAATTAGAAAAAGTTAAATTGTTTTGACATATTTTCATATATTTTGATTTACCAGTAAGCACTACAACCTAATTTGAAAGATATAATCACCAAATTTTCAAATGGAATTGAATATAAGGCGGAAAAAGATGAAAATCAGCCAGATTTTGCTTCAATTACAACATGTATTGGGACTGTAAGAAAATTCTATTATCCAATTGGAAAATTCAATATATAATATTTAAATTTTTATTTTAGTTAAATATGAAAAGTGAAGAATTAGAAGGCAACTTAGTTTCTCTTTTAAAAGATGTAAATTCAAATCGTCCGAAGCGGGAAGGAAAATTCATAACTAAAGTAATTTTTAAGAGTCCTCCAAGTAGTGAACAATTGAGAATAAATCCCTTCGTTTATATAGAAGAAGAGTACATAAAACGAAAATCTATTTATAAAACAAGTTATAAAGACGTAGACGAGAATTCCGAAGAAATGGAAATCAAAATCTAAAATTTAAAAATATTTATAGTCTTATGTTTCGATATGAAATTGTAGTAGATATCGTCTAAATACTGAAATTGTTATGGAATAAAAATTTTTTTAACCAATTTTTATAATTTTTTAGCGGGAAAAACGCTTTTTGATTGAAAAAATTAAGCTGAGCAACGGCGCTTAACAAATTGTTCAAGAAGAAGAGGGAAATCATATATGAAATATTAATATGGAAAGAAGAATAAGATTACGTACTTTAAACACTCATATAACTTGCAAAATATGTGGAGGCTACTTCATTGATGCAACCACAGTCACTGAATGTTTACATACATGTAAGTCTCGAGAGTATTTAATTTTATATATCGGGAATTTGAATTGAATATTTTTCAAAACAAAGTTTTTATTGAAAAAATTAAACACACAACATAATTTTAGTTTGCAAAAGTTGTTTAGTAAAACACTTGGAAGAAAAGAAAACTTGTCCGACATGCGAGAATGTTATTCATCAGTCACATCCATTGCAATATATAAGTTTTTGTATTAAGTATATAAACTAGTACCGAATCTGCAAGAAAGTGCGTTGATATATTTTGCATTTTAATATGAACTTTTTGAAAAGAAATATTTCTTTTTAGATGAAATGAAGAGGGAAAGAGATTTTTATAGAAGTCGTAATATAGCTTGTCCAAAAGATTTACTACAGAATCATGAAGATGATGATGACAAGGTTAATGAAGCACATGCTGAATCCGGCTATCATAGTTTAGATGAGCTAGTTAATGTTTGTTTAGAGTGTAGTAGTAACAATTTAAAAAATTTGCAATGAAGGTTTTCTAGGTGTAGTTCTCAATCAACTATCACTCATTTAAAGAAATTTTTAGCAAAAAAAAGTTTTAAATGGAATAGAAAAATATAGAGAGGTATAAATCTTTTTCAATATCAAAATAGGCATAACAAATCTCAATGACCAATGATTTGAGACCTTGAAAACGTGAAAGTATGTGAATTAAAATTAGCACTTTGTGCAGAAAATCGCGAATATATATATGTACGCATTTAAATTTATTGTCAAGTTTTATTTTAGTTAAAATAAATTTAAGGGCTCTTTGAAAATTAATATAATTGAGAATTGACATATTCTGTTTTGCCTAATATTTTGAAATATTTGTGAAATTTCAAATAATTATTTATTTTTTAGATTGATATTTTATGCAATGAAGAACTTTTGGGTAAAAATCATACATTAAAATTTGTATATGTTACCCGACGGCGTTTTTTAAATTGTTTTTAAAAATAAATATAGTGATCAATATAATGTATAACTCAGAATATTAAGGCAAAATAATATAAGTTTAAGATATATTCATGTATATTAATGAATTTAATGTACAAAGTGGTCCGTAACTGGTGTTAAAGCATTCGTGGGGTGATTCCTCAGATACTCGTGTTTTAATCAATTATTTTTGTACCAATAGTAGCATTTTAAATTAAGTTTTTTAATAATCACTTGAAAATAAAAAAAATTACATTAATTTCGTTTAGTTTTACAATTTATATTTTATAATATTAAACATAAAGCTTAAAAAAACAAAATTTTTATTTGCAAATAATAATGTTTTCATTTTGAAAAATAAAAATGCAAATTTTTTGAATGATGAAACGGGTTAGTACGTTTCCAATTTTTATATCTTTCAAAATGTGAGTAATTTAAGGAAGATTTTTTTCGTGCTTTCGTTCTAATTTTGGAATTTTAATTTTTTATATTATTTTGCCAATTTTTTCGAAAACTTTACTTGTTTTTTTTTAGTATAATTATTATAAAACCAATCCATATGTATTTTATTTGAATCTAACAGACTATGTTTGTGCTTGGATTCTATGATTCTTACAATTTATTATACTTTGCTTTTTTATTGACAGCTACATAAACATAAATTACTTTGTGTGCATTTATTTTGTGGTCGTTTATACCTCACTAAAAAATATGGGAAAATATTAATAAAAAGTTAGAATACGTACACATACATAAGTGTGAATGTAATAAAGGCATTAAAATTGTAAAACTTACATATTTTAAAAGCTTTTTAAGTATGAAATCCCTTTTGTTTTTTAAAATGGATATGTATGCAAATAAAATACATATGTACGTGTCTAATTTATAGCTTAAATTTGTTGGTCATTTAGTGAATATGTAGATAAACACATACATATACACTAAACGATCAGTAAAATAAAATTTGAAGAAAAAAAATCAATATGAAATGTGTTTAACACATACATTTGGTTTGACACGAAACCGCGCAAATATAAACATGTTGCAAATAAAATTATTAGAACATGTATATAATTTGTTGACAGAAGATTTAGAATGTCAAAATTTTTTTTATTTTAGTGTTCAGTTTGGACACATATTGTAAAGTAAAAACGCAGTATTATATATGAAAGCGTTAAAAAATATGGCCCAAATTATTAAACTGATTATACTCAAAACATATATTTTATAGTTGGTATTGATTATGATACAAATTCTCCAGGTGTGAATATCAATACTTGACAATAGATAGCGCTGAGCGCTGCACGTCATATTGGAAAAAAAACTTATTAGATTATATTATGAAGATTTGATGGATTTACTTAAGCGGGAAGGAAATTTTTTAGCGGCAAAAACACTTTTTGATTGAAAAAATTAAACTGAGCAACTGCGCTTAACAAATTGTTCAAGAAGAAGAGGGAAATCATATATGAAATATTAATATGGAAAGAAGAATAAGATTACGTACTTTAAACACTCATATAACTTGCAAAATATGTGGAGGCTACTTCATTGATGCAACCACAGTCACTGAATGTTTACATACATGTAAGTCTCGAGAGTATTTAATTTTATATATCGGGAATTTGAATTGAATATTTTTCAAAACAAAGTTTTTATTGAAAAAATTAAACACACAACATAATTTTAGTTTGCAAAAGTTGTTTAGTAAAACACTTGGAAGAAAAGAAAACTTGTCCGACATGCGAGAATGTTATTCATCAGTCACATCCATTGCAATATATAAGTTTTTGTATTAAGTATATAAACTAGTACCGAATCTGCAAGAAAGTGCGTTGATATATTTTGCATTTTAATATGAACTTTTTGAAAAGAAATATTTCTTTTTAGATGAAATGAAGAGGGAAAGAGATTTTTATAGAAGTCGTAATATAGCTTGTCCAAAAGATTTACTACAGAATCATGAAGATGATGATGACAAGGTTAATGAAGCACATGCTGAATCCGGCTATCATAGTTTAGATGAGC